AAGGTTGCGCCCACACCATCAGGAGAAGATGGAATTGCCGAAGCACCACCTGTATCCACTAGCAAGCATGGAAACATAGCAAAGACTAGTTAGAATCCGGTGAATCCTAAATTGACTGACCCTACAAGGAAGGAAAAGCAGACAAAAACCAAACCTAAGTCTGAGGTCAGTTGATCGAATTCCCATATTTTGTTCACCCATGTGCAATGACAGCTTCCTTGAACAACGGTCCCTGTTCGATCAGGAACAGTGGTTCAATTTGTGCAATAAATTAGGTCTGAACATCAATTCAGCAAAACCATACTGGGCTCTGTCGAAGAGTACTGTTACTGGCTCAAGTACTACTATCTATCGACAGTAGCTCCAACATAAGAGTGGGACGCGATAGGCCAAGGGCTAGCAGGCGAATGGCGAGGAAGTCAACGGAACTGACGCCCTCTGCCAATATGGCCATACATGGTGTTCCGGAGCTGGAAACTGGCACTGATTGTGAAAACACATGCATGACGTACAGCACTATAGATGGATGTCATCTCAGATGGCCATCGGTGCCTCTGGGGAAATCCCAACTTTTCGGCTTCGTCGTCCGGCTCATCTCGAAGTGAGACAGCTAGTACCATTTATCAGTCGACCTCCACAGACATTTACGAGCAGACCATGATGATGAAGTAGGTCTGCGTCCACGATTGACATGGTGACGTCAACAAGTCGGAAGATCCACGAAATAGGTTATCATGAAGGTTGCAGGTGATACACTCCCAGCCTGTAAGTTGAAGGCAGTTGCCTTCTGGTGACCTTCCTCCGGAGTAGGGATGACGCTGACTTCGGCACCAGTGTCAGGTTTTCCTAACCACATATCAAACAGGCCCCACGATACCAACACCACCTCAGTTCGTTAGTTTATATCTTGGTTTAGATTTTGAGTCACAACTTGAGCCGCTAGGCTGAAATCAATTGTGTTGTCAATTGGGGAGAATGAGGTTCTGCTTTTAGTATCAGTCGAACTGAAATCTCAGCCCTTTATCATCACTCCAAATAGTTACCGGAGAAGCAACTTTATGGGAGTGAGAGGCAGTTAAATACCCGGTCAAGAGATAAAGTGAAGAGCGGCAAAACAGGAATGTCTTCAATCCCAGGGGGACTGGAACTCCAAAATACGTATTAAGTTATACTGTAAAAACCAATCTTCTTGACGTGCCAGAGGAAAATACTGTTATGACTGGAGCTAAGACCTAGTAGATTCTGAGCGAACACTAACTTAATGCGTTGACTACAAATTTGTCCTGATCACACGTCAACCACAACAACAGTAACACCGCCAGGCTGCAAGAGACAGAATAGGAGACTGGACGTTGACGAAAGAGCTTTTACTGTCTGAAAACAATAGTCCCAACAAACGAATGACAGTCCTTGCCTATATATGTTTAAAATGACCTTGAGAAGCACTGATGTCACTGATAAATTTAGACAATGAACAACCAATAGCATTTCAAAGGTCATAAGTAGTGGGGTGGGAGAAAATTTGATCATAAATCAATCAGTCTGGGGGAGAGATGAAGACAAACAGACATGTGGAGAATTAGGTTTATGTATCAAATATTAAGTCTCATCACAACTACTTTACGGGAAACAGCATCTCTGTTGGATATTGTTGGCTTTAAGACGTCAGAAAACTATGTGTGGTTTGGAGATATTATGCTGGGTATTGTTACATGTATCCACGAAACATAAATTACTCACCTTTAGAAAATTTCTACGTGTAGTTTCAATCGGCTAAGATGTCTTTCCAAATACTGCAAGTTAGTTATTTAACACTTACCGGCTATCCTTCTATCTGGTCCATTTCATCATTTAGGTTTTTTGTTGTACTACTTAGTGCTACTACTCGGTTTGTTAGACACTTAACTAAGCCTACCTTTGCAGATAACCATCGGATGACATGAATTAAAGTCCTTATCCATAATGGAGTTATACTCTACCACAGTGTTCAAGTTCTATAATTGTATCTATAGACCACTTTCACTAATCTTCCTATTTGGAAGTGGTGCTGGTAAAGAACTAAAACCTACGTTTGTTTCACTGTAAACAAATTCAGCGCAGTTACCAGTGTTGTGCCATTGCTTCTGTTGCAAGTGTTTGGTGTATATTACCTGAACACACAGTATCCCGGTGATTACACTTTGTATACCCAACCGAAATACGTAACTTCTTAGAGTTCTAAATCTACCTCCACGGGCCCACGCCTATCGTACTGTAACCGTATGCATGAGAACTGGTGTTTGTCTTTCTTTTCGAAGATATACGATGTTGTGTAAATCAGAAATCCACCCAAAGCGCTTTTCTGTCTCACTGATCTTGTGGATACAGAACACAAGATTGATGTTAAAAAGGTACGTGGCACATACCAACAAACTTAAATTCACCTTAAGAGTTCGTCTACTACGTACTGCTGAGACTGGCTGTTAGGATCCACATTAGGAACCCAACATACGTTTCTAAAAGAAGCTGGTTCTGACATCGTCCTTACCTTGGCGTACAATCAAAGTCCTAATGATGCTCAGTTTGTTGTTGTGGAGATTTCCTTAATTTTTATTTGATATTCTATTTTTATTATAATTTGTGCATCTTCAGTGAACTGTCTGTAATTCCATTGTGATCTTACTTAACAAATAGATAGTTTCTAAAAAGTACACCAATTTTCTAATTGACGACTATTCTATTCATATTATTATTCCCGTGGGTTCCGAGTGGAACATAGGGCTGCCTTCAACAACACCACATTTTCATTTTCTCTGCCATCCTCCTCAGCTGGCTAGCTCCACGATTGCCTATAATCTCTCATCTCCTCTTCGCCACACGATTTCCTCCATGTCACTCTCGCACCGACCACCCACTCGTCCGTCGCTTCCCACTTGGATTCCACTCGAGTGATGGCCTGGCGGGCGATGTCATTCGACAGCCTCCCTTCTCAATGTATGTCAGATCAGTTTATCTACATTTTCTCCTACATATTTGTTGAATATTGTATGTATATAAACAGGTACATAATTGTAGAGCCAGAAGAGGAGGAAATGACCGTAAAAGATCTTCTTAGCTCAATTTTGTTGTTTTTCTAGATCTGTGAATGAATATTTTCGCTATATTTAAATGAGAAATGAATATCGTCTACGACTGACTAGTTAGGACACAGTGAAGAGATGACAACAGTCATCACACGATCCACATAAACAATCGCTGTTATACTGCATGATCGTCTAGCTGCTTGCAAGAATAATTGGTGAGACATTGCGTATACTGTTTAAGTTAACAGTGGATAGAAAGCCAAACAGGTATCTACACTGTTGACTACATGAAGTGAACTTAACGAACCACTTAGTTTGAAGGTGGATACAGGCTTGATGAACGCGTTTTTCCTTTAAAAATTCAGTTCAACATTCACATTTCTAAAGACATAAACTAGTTACAAATGAAAATATCAGCAGAGAATCTGTAAACTTATGTCCTCATCATCAGTTAGAGTAAGTAGTGTCAACAACAACACAACAGAGAAACCACTTAAATCAAACCACGAGGAAGATAACAACATCTTTGAATCAAATTTTTATTATAAATTAGAGTCATCAGATTTTTCAATGATTATTATTACTATTACTAGAGAGAAAGAAGTACAACACATATATACAGACAAAATCATCAGGCCAACGATAAATCAATGTATCTTCTTCCTCCTCTGCTCCATCAAATAAACCACAAGATGACTTAGCGATGTACAAATAAGTTATACAAACACAAAAATAGGCCGTTTTCGATCTTATAAATATTAACGTCTCTCAGAAGGAGGGACATGAGTTATTCCTTCAATGTGGTCGCAGATACACGCCTTGCTGACTGACTAACTAGTGAGTGCCGACTGCCTCCAACAATCTAATATCAACAACTCAAAGTGCACCGTGATGGTGAGCTACCTAGTGGCATGGTGGTCACATTGAAAACCTGACACTGACTGATAGAATTCAGTTTGTACCAAATAAAGGACTAGCTAGATACATCACACTAGTTACTGACTAGTGTCCGATCTAAATAGAAATCATTTAGAACTGAAAAGAAAAGCAAAAATCTTTTTCTATATACAGTCCTTCACTTAACTGATTGATTGATAGATAGATATATAAACAAAGACATCCCTACCTCCCACCTACTATTCACACAGCTAACTACTGTAGGCGCAATTCTTGTAATCTTGAACAATAATCATGCTGTGGTACAGATAATGTGTTCCAACGGGATATTATTCTCACATATACTACTCTTTCCACAGTTCAATAATGCATTAGGTACAGAATACTATATATGCATATTTGAACACTATTTCATTTTGTTTAATGTAAACGAAAATCAGACACTCAGTGATTGGTTAACGAATATAAACTGTACAGATATACATGAAAAGCGGTTTGATCAATTGAAAATATATCTTGGCTTCCGTGTCCTGCCTTCTGCTGTTGCACACTTGGTGTCACTGCCTGTCGACAAATGAACAGCCTATACCCCGCAGCTTTTGAAGGAGACATATGGATATTCTAGCAGGACTTTGAGGCTGTTGCGGAGTTGAATGACGTTTAAGATCCGTCGGTAAAGAGGCTTTTACTCAGAACACTGCTGCTGAGAGAAGAGATCGGGTGAAGGCAGCATATGATGATAGTGTGAGGCGAAACACCGGCGAATACGCGCCAGCCAGCTAGAGTCACGCAAACTGCTTCCAAAGTGGGGGAGGGACACGCATTCACCGCGAGGCGGGGTCACGTATATACCGTCAGCGAGCTCCACAACTGGATACAGCAAGACAAGCAAACAAAGCCCCGAGCACCAAGAAGATCGAACTGACTTCAGTCTAAAGCATTTGATGGGGGGTGGGTGGGACGAGTGTGGTGTGTCTTGCCTTCTGCTGTTACAATACCAAGAACCATGACAACTAAATATTATTATTATTATTATTATTATTATTATTATATACACCTTTGAATAATACAAATGTGAGTGAATGAATGAAAACGCAACAGTAGCAACAATACAACAATTAAGACGTGCTTTACATGAGAAACAGCATAAAAAAGTATCATCAAACAAACGATTAAAGATTAGTCATAATAAATATATGGTATAGTGGGAAACGGATTCTTATACATCACACACATACAACGCAAATACATTACACACACACACACAAATTTTTGACAAACATTCACCATAGCATAAAAGTGACATAACACAGTAAGCAGACTTATTAATAATAATAATAAAAAAAAGAATCAGCGCAGAGTTTTATGCTTTATTATAATTATTGTGAAGCGTTTGGTGAACATAAGATAATAATTTAGTTAGCAACCACCACCCCGCACTGCACCCCAACCCCCGACATACACTTCATGTCTAGTTGCCTATCATCAGTGGATTCCAGTTCCACTAAACATTACAATAATAATAGTATATAATATTTGAGGTAGGATACAAATATACATACGATAAAAGAAAGTTTATTGAAACCGGGAGGCACAGACAAGGAGAGAGGGAGAAGGAAGGATTAAACGAAATAAGAGTGATTCGACTTTCTAACAGATTCATCTGAAGTTACAGTCGGCGGTATACAAGATAAATGATGATGACTGCTAACAGGTTGTTCTGAATTAAACGATTCACAGTCAATAGTCGTCTTTGTATCCGATACTGGATTTACAAAACTAGGAGCATGACAGTCACTTGTTTTCTTTCGATTGGCTTCATTCTTTACAGGGTAACGATGATGGAGTTGGTGTTGTTGTTGATGATGACGTCCTGAAGTTGATGATGAGGTGGTGACATAAGATACAGAAGGAATAGAGCACTTATTAGTATTATCTGAAGCATTACAATTGAAAACAGGAAAGTATGGCGATGTAAATATCGATGGACATGATGTGGAAAACAAATGTGATGCAACACAAGCATGCTGAATACTGTATGATGCAGTAGGTTGACAGACGACTGAAGACTTAGTAATCCTTAGATTATCAGGTGGATAGGAGTTATTTTTACGACGAGAACGTGAAAACATCAATAATACAGAACGAAATATGCTGGGTGTATTGTGATGAGTGTGGAAATGCGATGCAGTTTTACAGCCGGTGTTGGAGTAATCATTTTCACGAAGAGTGTCAACTCTAAGTCCGTTTGGTAAAGTATCTTGATAAGATTGACAATTGTTATTATGCGCAGAGGTGAATTGTTTATCAGTATCTGAAAGAATGCATGCAGACTTTGATGTGGATTGTGAAACATACGCTGTGCAAGCAGAGGAGGAGGAGGCATTATCCGGAGCACTTTTTGCGTGTACAGGTTTTTCATTTTTTTGTATATAATCCACTAAAAGCATATGCTCTGCAGATAGTGACCTAGAAATGAATGTTGACGAAGAAAATCAGATATTACTATTATTATTAATATTACTCAAAAACAGTAATGTATCTACTCAAAATTCAATGTGAACAAAATCTCAGGACAGTCTTTACGTCAATAATAAATAGTAGTAGAAAAGCTAAAGTAAAAGGTCTGGCGCGTCATATTGAACATCAAATGAACAGATAATATAATATTATTATTATTCCCTTGAGTTCCGAGTGGAACATAGGGCTGTCTTCAACAACACCACATCTCCACTTTGTTCTCTTTTCTGCCAGCCTTTTCAGCTGCCTAGCTCCACGATTGACCATAATAATCTCTCATCTTCTCTTCCTCCTCCAACTCATCTTCGCCACACGATCTTCTCCATGTCACAATAGCACTGATGACTCACTGGTCTGTCGATTCCCATTGAGATTCCACTTGAATGGTGGATAGTGGCATGCATTGAGCGTGATGTCATTCGCCAGCCACCCTCCTCAATGTATGCCCAATCAATCCATCTCCAATCCATTTCACCTACATATTTCTTAAGCGGTCGGCTCTTGTTCGGTTGGTTTGTTCTCAGCCACAGTTTCCTGTCACTAATTCTTTCTGGCCGGCCATTTGATCCTAAGTATGGAGAGAAGGCAGCTGTTGATGAAAGTTTGCCACTAGCTGTTGAGAATTCTTTTCGTGACACACGCAGTGAAAGTTTCTCACCCGTATAGAAGAACTGAACAACTTGACATTGGTGCTGAAAATCGGAATATTGTTCCTTATGCTGAGTGAGAGCAAAATACTTCCAAACTGGTTTTAGGTTGATGAAAGCATGCGTGTCTTGCCTTTCCGATTCTGAGTGGCTGGTTGGCTGACTTTGACATATTCACCCGTGCCATCCGCCTGTGGTTGAAACGATAAGTGAAGGAGGCAACCTCTGTTAAATCTCTCCCGTTGATGGTGATTGCTGCAGGTTGTTGTTGTTGCTGTTAGTTGGTTGGCTGGTTATCTTTTTCACCTCCGTCTTCACCTTCTTCATGTTCACCTACAGTCCTGTCTTCGCTGGCAGCCAGTCTGTTGGTTTTCACATGCCTGCAAGTCAACGAGTCTGTGTGATAACAGACATATATCATGCAAGCAAGAAATCCAGATCTTCTAGAGTCTTCTTATCGGTCGTGCAGCATATTCCCGTCTCCTCGCCCCCAACGCACAGTTTGACGCATAATGCAGTCCATCACGATTAACAATAGCATCGTCGGTGGTAATAGGCAGCCAGCTTGTCTTATTCCTGTCTGCACTTCAAATGCCTCGCTGAGTTTTCCGTTGTGGATCACCTGATACGTGGGCAGATTGTCAAATAGCCAGCCAGCTGCTGAATGAGGTTGGTGAAGACTTGGACACTGCAAGCCGTAGTGTTGAAGTAGTTTTCAAATTACTTCTCGATCAACGCTGCACGGTTGAAGGCCTTTTCGAAGTCGATGAATTGTGGAGGTAAAGAGAGGTTTGACTGGCATTCCTATGCTTTGTTCGATGACGAATTGTGATTGTACATTATTCCCCACCCACTGCATTGGGGTTCGAAAGCAGGACCATTTGGTTACTAGGCTTAAAGACCATTAATTAGCCAGTCACTCGCTGGGACCCAATCCAATGGCCAGCTAGCCAGTCCATGAATTCTAACTTCTGCCGATTCACGCACAACATAGCGCAACCACTTCGTAATGTCTTCTTCGATGAGATACTGCCTCACTTTCAACCTGCTGTACTCTACTGATCACGGCTTCCCACTAGAACCCCAGGTAACTGCTTGAATAGGGCAGAAGTTAGAATCCAGAGACTGGCCATTCAATCGGGTCCCAGTGAGTGAGTGGCTGCTTAATGGTCTACGAGCTGGATCGCCTTGTACCTAAAAGGTGGTCCTGGGTTCGAACCCCAGTCGGGTGCGTACGGCTGAATAGGAAACAGCTGGCTGTCTAGCAGTACTCCCTGTGGCTGATTTTCCAATGCTTCTCTAAATAACTAACCGATGTCAGTGCTCATGATGAAATCCTTCAATGAAGCAATCAAACAAAAAATCCCTACAAAATTGCATTTCCTGTTGTTGTTGTTATTACTGTGTAATTCCCTTGTTATTTGCAGTCAACAGTGTGCATTTTTCTGAGACAGACTCACAAAAGCGTTCTCATTGATAACCATAAACCTTTTGCCTATTTAAAACATGATTTTCAAGATATAAGTGCTAATCCTATTTAAAATAAAATAAAGTGTGCATCTTACCTTGATCCAAGTGGTAAATTCTTGTCTTCATGTTTATTTTCAACATGAGACTTATTTTTCAGCAGATCTCCGGTTAACTGTCCAACTGTTGTGTAAGAATCATTTAGTACAGCATGAGTGGGAGGAGAATACTCGGTGGATGTTTTCTTTGACACAATCAATTCTACATGCTCATCATCATTATCGCCAGCGTCATCATCACCATGTTCTAGACTGGTTTGTTTGTTGAAGAACAGATTTCGAAGCCGACTAGACTTTTCTTTTTCTTCTGCAGTCTTCACTTTTTGATAATTGATAGGATCTAATTTTTGCCACATTGGGAAAGAAACTGAATCACCACGACCACCACCACCGCCAGCGCCACTGACCCCACCTGTAGGATGGAGAGGTTGATCTTCGATAGTAGTAGAACGGTGATCACCGAAACTTTGTTGCTCAGAGCTACGGAAAACATGACCATAAGAAGCAGAAGAAGAAGACGAAGTAGAACAACTAGTACCTCGGCGTATATCATGGTAGCGACTAATTCTTGTTGAACAACCATCATCAGCAGTCTTGTGTCGGCGGCGGCGGTGGTGGCTGCGTCGACCAAAATTTTGCAATGGAGGATCCGAGAGAAATGAAAGGAATGCAGAAGTACTGATATTTTCTGAAAAGGAATCAGTTGATCGATGATGATGATGATCCAAGAGAGACTTTCCAATACCACCACCACCACCACCTAAACTACCAGTTGCGCTAAGGACACCACGTATACCAGTAATGAAAGGATAACCATGAGTGCTATCCGAAGTAGGATTACTTGTTACCGGATTACTCGGAGATGGATCACCGGAAGCAAGAGTATTTTTTGACATGATACAAGCACCAGCACCTGGTTGGAACTGAGAAAAATAAAAAAGGGCATGTTATGTGTCAATTGTGACAGAAAAACATCATGATAGTCTATCGATTAAAAAAAATATCACTTCATAAACATTGTAACTATTGCCCGTATTGATATTTATATGCAAATTAAAGCTTTAAGCTAAGTCAATTTATAAGAGCAGAAGAGGGCAAAACACGGAAGCCAAGGTGTATTTTCAATTGATCAAACCGCTATTTATATATATACAGTTTTATATTTTTCAACCAATCATCATTCAGCGTGTGTTTTGGGAGCAACCCAAGAAGTCACTCCTCTGTAAACCATATATTCGTGTAACAACCCCCTTCTCAGGTGTGAGGCTAGCAACCCCACCCTGTAAACAAAGTTGCTACAGAAACTTCAGTTAGATGAGTCTCCTTTCGGCAAAATAAAAAGTCTGTATGGGGACATGGAACGTCCGCACCATGTACGACACTGGCAGAGCTGCCCAGATTGCAAACGAGATAAAAAGATACGGAATTCAAGTACTGAGAATATGCGAAAGCAGACAGAATGGGAGTAGACCCATAAAATTGTCAACGGAAGAGCCAGTGATCTGCTCCGGTCACCCAGAAGACAACCACGTGCACACTGAGGGTGTGGCTATCATGATGTCACCAACAGCAACGAAGGCCCTCATGCAATGGGAGGTGGTCTTGCTTAGGATAATGACCACTAGATTCAACTCCAAAGGAAGTAGAGTGTCAGTTATACAATGCTATGCATCCATAAACAACGCGGACCTAGAAAAGAAAGAAGAGTTCTACGGGCAACAATAGACAATACTCCAGTTGGTGACATTAAAATCCTAATGGGAGACATGAACGCCAAACTGGCACCAGACAACACAGGAAGAGAACTCATTATGGATAGAGAAGCATTTGGAGAGATGAATAAAAACGGAAAACTCTTCTCTGACTTCTGTGACTTCAATGAACTAGTGATTGTTGGCAGCGTACACAAACACAAAGATATCCACAAGGCTACATGGGTGTCACCAGACGGGCTAACCAAAAGCAAATTGACTTCTCAATGTTGCTCAAAGAGGTAGAGAGGCAGCTTACTGGGCACAAAAGAAGAGGAGCAAGCTTCGGCTAAGACCACTATCTCGTGCAAGGAACACTCCAAATCAAATTAAAAGCTTTCAAGGAAATAGGAGCTGCAGGATAGACTACAAGCCAAGTTCAATACTCAAAAACTGAAGCATCCGGATACAAAGGATATCTTCACTGCAATCATAAGGAAAAAGGTTGAACTGTGGGAATAGTAGTATTCAGACGTTGACATCAACAAATACAATGATTCTGAGAATAATATTCAGTTGGAACTCACATTGTCTCTGTAACACTGCCACAAATTGAGTCTGGACTATAGTGAAGCCCAGACTTCATGCCACGAGTACTCACTGTGAGAAATAAGACGCCCGTAGGCAGTTAAATGCTATATTGTATGAAATCCGTAATTACTCCCTACAACAACAACACACTTTCTTCTCTAGAAACTAGAACGTCGAACCATACATTGAACACTACTCAAAATAATGATTATACAAGGGAGTACAAAAATTTATCCTTTAATGGTATTACACTTTGGAAGAGCAGACGATGCAAAGAAATATATTGGAACTACAATGGACGATGACGTGTAGAAGACAGAATAATCGGGATCATAACACGGAATCATGACACACGATAATCTCCATCTAGTCTCAACCTGACAGCTAACGATTTTATAGATTATTGGGTGTAACAAAACCTTCTACAACCTGAACTTATTTCCTGAAGATAAGGCTCACTCTCTGGCTAATACACTCGACTTATAATCTATTGAATCTCGGGGTTCAGATTCATTCGCATCACCCTAGGGGTGATGTTCTGAGTGGAACATAGATGGAACTTCAAGCTACACCACCTCTGAAGTTTCAGTAGGAGTGACTTTATTTTCGCGGAGGGTGGAGTGGGGCAGCGGTTGCTAGCCTCATGTCTAACCCTTCCCCACCTATTCTTCACCAGCCTGCTTTTCTATCGGCTTAGGCGAGGATTAAAAGTGAGTCGGTTGGGGATTGAACTCCAGAACACGTGCGTGGTTGGCCAGGTTTCTATTGCTGAACAACCATTGACGTACCAATTAGTTGTATAATTAGGTAAAAAATATCCTCAGTACGAAATATTTACTCATGGTGAGATATTTATGAAGGAATATGTCAAATCACTAATATTGATAACCGAACCCCTCTAGTGAATCCTGGACAGTGGTTAGGACTCTCGCCGACCATGCACATGGTCCGGGTTTCGATGCCCTGCCGACGCACACCCGATATCTATGGTCGGCCTGCAAAATATGGGCTACCGATATCCATGCTGAAAATTCCATACTTGTAATGAAAAATAGTGTGTGGCATCAAGCTGTAATCAAAATAAAAATAAAAAATAAAATACATTCAGGTGCCATTTGAAAAGTCTTTCTGAGTCCTATATACAAGATCCGATCAAACCTATCAAAAGGAGTGAAATCAAGGTATCTGGCTGGGAACAGCTGAGGCACTGCCGATCCAAGGACTTAAGCCCACTACTCTATGTGTCCAAAAGAAATACGTCCAGTGCAAATGTTGTCCCTACTATGGCCATCATGAAAAGTCAGTCCCTTCAGTAGTGATTATCCTATTACCTTTCTTATCCAACCTTCCTGTTTATTTCTGTTTTTAATTCCTATCTGCATTACTAGATTTGGTTGCGGCTTTTTATTTTTAAATGTCCGTACTTCCTACCTATTTTTTGATGTAGTTGCGTGTTATCTGAGCTTGCTAGCTAACTGGATGGTTTATTTACGGAGCTTTCATCACAATCCTACTAGGCAGCGTATACTTCTATTTGGATTGAATTGAGCTTTCAAATTTCTCCACGAGTTTATTAGTCATCTCTCCTGGTGGGTAAACTTGAATGTAATTGGAAATTAGGCTACCACTTGTATTGGTACTGACTGTTTCCTTGACCTGTAGTTTCACCCTTTGTGTGTGTGTGTTTGATTTCCTTTTTATCGATTGGGAAATTTTGTCTATGTCAATATTTCTGTTAACTGACGATTCTCACTGGAATACCAGGCAGACTTCTAAAAATTCTCTAGCATTCTTGGTGTTGTTTCCTCTGTCTAATATTGTTTCAACGCTGGTTATCCCAGTCGAATTGATGTCCTTCGTGGTTGTTGTCTGTATGTAGTGAGGCGATATGAGTGAGTGAGGGATTGGATGTCATGTCTTTTGACTGCTAGTTTATGATCATGGATACGAAGAAGAAGAGGAGGGACATCCACTTTGGCCAGTGTTAATACTACATCCTTAATCCGTAATTTGTAGAAACAGTCAAGCTTTTCAGTAATTATAATCTTATTGTTTTTACGAGTTTGACCACGGATTGATATCAGTTAGAAAACCATTGAAAACCAGCTGGGAGTACTGGAAAGCTGTTTCATCCTAGTTCAGGAACCATCGGCACTAGCACCATCCAATATCATCAGTGGGACATCCATCCTTATACTTGACCACTGGATAGACCTCACTGGTCACGACTTCTCCCTAGAACACCAGCGAGCATCAGATTAATTTTCATCTGTCCAGTACTCCCTGGTTTTCAATGGTTCTCTGAATGATATCAATCCGTGGTCAAACTTGTAAAAACAAATCTAATCCTTACAAACCAACTGTTTTCTAAACGATCTTCCTGATTATTATTACACTTCGTAATTTTTGTTTAATTTGACCTTTGACCTGAAATATTTCTAGAACAGTACATCACTACCTATCTTCTGTTTATTACACTTCGTAATTTTATTAATTTTACCTTTGACAGGAAATAATTCTGGAACTTTCTCACACATTTACTATTCATACACACGAATGTACAGCCCAGTTTAGTGGTGACTTCGCCGAAAATCAAAATTTTCTTCCTTTTTTTAATAATATCGATTTAATATAGAAAAACCCCATTTAGACATTTATTAAGCAGAAGGATTGAGCGAAGAAATATTTGCTTTTCAATTAGATCCCCCCACACACATAATAAGAAGGAGTGTGTATATTGTAATAAAAATGCTATACATGTGTGTATATTAGAGTAGAGCCAGAGTGATATGAGGATCTAATTGGAAAGTAAGTATTTCTTCGCTCAATCCTCCTGCTTTCTAAATACCGATTTACAATACCTCAACATCAACACCCTACATGGCATCGTAAAACAAAAAGAAAAGAAAAATTGAAACACAGAGATGAACACTCACACGAAGGGCATCGATGGTGCTATTCGGTTTAGGCGGTTCATCTGTAAGAAAAGGACGTACACATTCAGGATTTTTTCGCAGGATTGCTATAATATGGTCTAATGAAGCAGGACGATGTTGCCATTGATGTTGACAACACTGATAGATTAACCGAGATCTGAAAAAGAAAAAAAATGCAACATCTACAAACAGGAATGACAAATGATTGTCAAAAACCAACAAACAAACAGTTCGAGAACTACTGGAAAACTTGGAAGTACTGGACGTCAGCCTAGTTTAGAACTCTTTAGCACTACTCACCCACCCCAAGGCCTGGATTTGAACTCAGGACCACTTTCTGGTTACAAGGCGAGAGGGCTCGTAGACCATTGAGCAGCCACTCACTCACTGGGACCCGATCCAATGGGCTAGCCAGCCAGTCCATGAATTCTAACTTATTCCAATTCACGCATGATACAGCGCGACCACTTCGCAATGTCTTCTTCTATCAGTAACTGTCCTCACACATCTTCGACCCGCTGTACCCTACTGGTTACGGCTTATCACTAGAATCCCGGTGGCTGAGTACTACTGAAGAGCCAGTCCAGCCCAAACACTAGGACGGAGGAAACAGCTGTCTGGCAGTACTCCCTGTGACTGGTTTTCCAATGATTCTCAAACCAACCAATGTCAATCAATGCTCTTGATGAAATCCTCCAGCCAACCAATCAAACAAAACGCCTACAAACGAATACTTGAAAAACAAACCAACAAACAAAAAAAACATGCACTGCTCAGGGGAAACATTAAAAAAAATGATCCATTAAACTAATGTATAATAAAAAAGACGGAGATTATCTGAAAACATATGTGATGTAATGTATTTGCGCTATACATTTCGAATAATCTTATCCCAAACGCATTTACTTGTCAAGTCGATATATATATGAAAAAAATAAGGGCAATTAAATTTAACAAAGTGACAAAAAAGATTTAAGACCCATTATCCAACTCGCCTCCACGGGTACAACAACCTACCCTATATGGGGGTGGGGACCATTGCAGCTTGACAACTAGACATAGATTGAACTCTGTTGTGGTTAAAAAAACTTTTTATGCATCTTATGTCATAATAATACATGAGAATGTGAAGCCAATATATCCATCTACCTAAGCCCTTTGAACATATGAAAACTGATGTCACACTCTCCCAACTGCATTTACCAATTTGGATGTACGTGTGGAAACACATGCATACATAGGAGGGAGGACTCATCGATCTCTGCAAGTAAGGATTGACTTCAGAGCATATTGTTAAATGGCTCCAAAAGCAAATAGAATCCCCAGAACTCATTAATTAATGGTGAGAACAGACGACGACCTAGCTCCGCTATTGCCAAACATACTACAGAGGAGACAGGACATAAAATTGACATTTACACATCTCTTAAACCTATGTATAGAACATTTTCGGGGAAGGGCACTAAACCTACCGTCCTTGGTAAACTTTGTTTTGATCACCACCAGTCAAGGTAGATGTACTATGTTACCTTTGTTATTTGGTTTAGTGATTGATCTTCATTGTTATGTTGACCTTCAATATGTCCTCCTTTTAACTTGACCTAACTTGTCTATTTTCTCACCTCTTAACTCTTTGTCAATTTCACATATATAAGTACTCCTGTGACAAGTCCTTGTGTGTGTGTGTGTGTTTGTGGTGGATCAGATTGTTCGAAATAAGTGTTGCACGCAAATACATACACAATACACGATTCAGACAAAACTGCGTCTTCTTATTGCTTCGTGTAGCTAACTAAATAAATTCATAAAGGGAACTAATTATCTTAAATTTTTAAAGGGAAGACTCCCTCCAAACACTATCAAAAAGTTAAATGAACTTGTTAACCTAAGGTGTAAGATCTAAGAATAATTTTAACACAACGTTCGGTAATCCAATCAAATAAGGATTATCAAGGTGCCAAGGTTAAGAGTAATACTAAACTGTTTTTGAACACCCAGACGTGGGGGGGAGTGGGGCATAAGTTTATGAGTAGCTATAGCCGCAGCATATTTCAATAACCGCCCTTGACCATTTTTATAGATGACCTTAAAGGCTGTGTTAATATCAATAATCATCTTATGGATCATCTCGATTACAGATGATGTTTGGCTATAGACGAAGTTGTTAGCCTGTCACTTGCGTCTATCGATTTTCCACAATTTGTTTATTTTCCTAACCATTTCGGGATATGCTCGTTGTCCCACTCTGACATGCAAAGCACGATTACACACGAAAATTGTTAAATACTGTGGGATGTGACATAATCACTTGTGCACTTTTGAGGTTAGCAGTGGAGCATATTTTTGTCTTTTTTTTGATAATTACAAGCCGAGCTGCATAATAGGTCTCAAAATCCTACTGTTTATTTCACCGTTATATATGGTAATCTGATGAAAATATTTTCCTAAGAAGGGAGGGGGCGGTATAGATGGTAGGTTTAAAGACTTACTGACTTCTACACCTGTTTAAAAATTTCAAAGAATATCCCTGTTTTCAACAAGAGTATCCAGCAATATTTCATTTTTGTTTCTCTATAACATCAGCCGAACAAATACGCTTAATCCTCTTAAACTAACATTTCACCAAGTCTCTCTTATACTGTAGTGGACAGAAACTGTGAAAATTGAGCTATTGCCCTGTCCAAGTAGGGATTTTTGTAAATTGATCGTCTTATTAAACCAACATCTTTTCGACTCAGAATTATGTCTAAAAATGCAAGCTGGTTGCGATTTTCTTCCTCACATGTTAGACTTATGTGATGCTGTGGTACGGAGTTAAGTCTATCTAATAGATGACTCGCATCTTCCTGATTATCACACATTAAAATGATATGATGTCTACATACCTCCAATAGGGGGGCAATTTAGAAATTAAATCAAGGTACAAGTTTTCAACAGTAGGACATGTAAACGTCCGCTAATAAAAGTCCTAATGGACTCCCCATGGCAACACCACACACACGAAAATAACACTATCCAAATAAAGAAAAATAACAAACTTACATAATAGTGTCTCTTGCTGCTACTGGCAAAAATTCAATAATACTAAAGTCTTTGCGTTTTACACGCTCGACAACTTCAACATCGCCTAACCCATCATAAGGAAATACACCGAAAGTGATTATCTCGTATAAAACAATCCCATAGGACCAAATATCAGATAGAATACTGAATACACCGAATTGAACAGCTTCAGGTGACATCCAACGGATAGGCAGTTCACCTTAAATAAGATAACATAACACAAAGGCAAAGTTAAACTTTAAACACCCACCCACCAACTACCGAATCAGCAAATGACCTCGAACGCACCAATCACGTGAAGAAGGCATTTTTGTGGGCAAAGTTCAACATTAGTATCCCAAGGGATGCGAACGCACAGGTGACCTTCAGCCGACCAATCATAAAAATGAGGAAGTTTTGCATAAAAAGTGACGTACATTTACAAGAAAATGCATGAAAACACATTGAACAGGGTACTTTTAAAAATACGTCTCAGTTATAGTGAGGATTATCAGTTCCTAAGTAAGACTAGTTTCTGTACATGTATTCACTGAGGTGACTCAAGATGAACTGTTTTTGTTAATCGTTTATCTCTCTAATCCTGTTTTGCAGTCTTCTCCAATACCGAGGGGTATTGGAGAAGACACTAGCTTAGAAAAACAAACAAACAAGATAAATAGAACATTATTTGAATACCTGTGCATTGGTGGCACAGCGGTAGGTAGAATGCTCACCGCCAACCACGCCCCCATGAAGTCCCGAGTTCGATCCTTAGCACTCCTTTACCTCGCTCGCTAGGCTAGTAGTAGTAGTAAGACTGGTAAAGAGGGAAGGTTGGGGATGAGAGGCATGAGGCTAGCAGCAACCCCATTCCGTAATTAAAAAATAAAACACCACTGCTACCGAAACTTCACTCCATTTTAGCTTGAATGTGCTCTATGTTCGTTCCACACTGGGAAGGGAACGTAAAAGAATAAAATCAATAAACAGAACATTATCTGAACACTTCTCTCTCACTTACAATTTCGTGTGAAACGATAATAACCCTCGCTTTCATTGCTGTTCATTTCACGTGTTAAACCAAAATCGCCAATTTTTACAACACCGTCTGAACCGACAAGACAATTCCGACAGGCGATATCCCGATGGATAAGATTTTTCCGATGCAAATATGCTAAACCCTCTGCAATATCAATTGCCATACCTGTCAGTGTAGCTGGACAAATCCCTTCATGCTCTGGCATTCTACGAAAGAACAAATAAGACAGACAGGAAGAGAGAGAGAGAGTGAGGGGACAATAAAGCATATTCTTCAAACAAAAACGAAAGAAACAAACCCCACTTAATTCTAATGATTCATAAAACTTAAATATAATCAAAGAGTTTTCTATAGTTAGTTTGTAAGGATTAGTTTTGTTTTTACGAGTTAGTTGATCACGGATTGATATCAGTCAGAGAACGACTGACCAGTGAGGTCCATTCAGTCTTGGGTTCGAACTTCCGGGGGTGGGTGCGTACTGCCGATGATTCCTGAACTAGGATGAAACAGCTGTCCAGTGCTCACTGTGGCTAGTTTTCAATGATCCTCATATCAAAATCAAGTGGTTTGCAATAGACGAAGCTGTTAGTCTGTCAACTATGTTTCTCGGGAGTTTCACAGTTCAATTGTCTTTCAAACCATTTTATTAGGTATATATTTTTCCACCGTTTTCCTGTGAATTGATTCGATAAGTTAAATGTGTGTGGTCAGATTATTCCACGAGTGTACTGCGCGTTTACACATCATATTTTTAAAATATAAACTACGTCTTCTGAAAACACTGTCAAAATGTATTTTAAAAAAAGGAATTTAATTGTAAAACCTGGGAGCACTGGACACCTGTTTCTTCCGTCCTAGTGCTTGGGACTGGCTCTTCAGGAGTACGCGCCCACCCACCCCAATGCAGTTCAAACCCATGAACACCGTCTGGTTACTAGGCCAGAGAGCTTGTACACCATTAAACAGCTACTCACTCACTGGGACCAGATCTAATAGCCAGAGGGCCAGCCAGTCAGTCCATGAATTCCAACTTCTGCCAATTCATGCACGACCACTTCGATAAGTAACTGTCCTCATACATCTTTGACCTGCTGTACCCTACTGAGCACTAGAATCCCAGGTAACTACCTCTTCCTGAATATGACCGGTCGCTAGTGAGCATCAGATCAATTCATCAAGTATTGGTTTGTAGAGATTTTGTTTGCTTGGTTGGAGGATTTCATCAACGAGCTTACCTTGTAGCCAGAAGGTCTTGGGTTCGAGCCGCAGTCGGGTAGATGCGTACTGCTGAAGAGCCAGTCCAACCCAAACACTAGGACGGAGGAAAATTGGCTGTCTAGCAGTACTCCCTGTGGTTGGTTTTCCAATGGTTCTCTAACTAACCAACCGATGTCAGTGCTCATGATGAAATCCTCCAACCAACCAAGCAAAAAGGACGCTACAAACCGATACTAAACTCTAATTATTCCAAAACCTTTAAAGTAACAATTCCTAAAAGAAAACAATAAACATACTTGAACATTTTAACAAACAAAAGTTATGAATATATCACACATGGTGTTAGGATAAGTTTTCCTGGAGCAAACGCGATTATTTCATCCGACTCCAAACAAATACAAATATCTTGCTGAATCTACTTTTAAAACATCTTACCGACCCTTCGGTCATCACCACCATCACCTTTTGCAGTAGAACGCAGTTATCCTTTTATACTCAGTCGCATCATCTTGGAGAGAATAAAGGATGCACTGAATACAGAACTCCACCCACAGGAAGGAGCTGGATTTAGGAGAGGCAAATCATGTGCTGATAAAACTGTAATTCCACGCGTTGTCATAATTATCACAGAACAAAGCATAGAATGGCAGTCAAACCTCTCTCTACCTCAACGATGTCATAGACTTCGAAATCCCCTCGAGTTCTTAGTTCTACCAGTGTATGATTTTTAGCGTGATTACAGGTCACTGTCATCTGCAAGTTATCTGACCTTATTTCCGACTGGGTGGACCGACCCAGGTTTGAAAATTCAGCCTCGTAACTGGAAGGTCCCTGCCCAGGGGTTCGATCCTCGGTTGCGTGGTGGGTGCTCACCGTTGCAAAGTCACAAACTAGAACGAAACACCTGTCCAATACCTTCTGATTTTTTTATTGATCTCTCTAAATTGATACACTGATTCGCGTCATGGAAGCTAACAAATGAATTTAATCCGAATACTTTCTTAGTTAAAACTATTTATTTGCAGAAATACAATCATTCTTACAGTATTAAAAAAAGCAGGCTTGATTTAGAAATTACTGAACTATTATTATATTATTATTCCCTTGGGTTCCGAGTGGAAAATAGGGCTGGCTTCAAGAACGCATCTCCGACTTTCTTCTATTTGCTGGTTATCTTTACGATTGCCCAGAATCTTTCATCTCCTCGCCTTCCAGCGACCTACTCGTCCGTCGCTTCCCAGTCATCTTTCACTCGAGTGATGGATAGCCTGCATTGCTGATGTGATTCAACCGATGGCCTCCATTCCTCAATATACGCCCGATCAATCCATCTCCATTTTCTCCCACATATTTGTTGAGGGATCGGCTATTGTTCAGTTGGTTTGTTCCACCGCAGAGTTTCTTGTTACTATTTCTTTCTGGCCATTTGATCTTCAGTATGGAGCCGGAGAAGGCAGCAGCTGATGAAAGTCCGTAGTAGCCTGTTGGAAATCCTTTTCGTCGAGCACACGCAGAAGGACCGACTTGACATTGGTGTTGAATAGAATCCGAATTTTGTTGTTTATACTGAGGCGGAGTGCAGTGCAGAAGATTTGCAAAATGAATTCAGATTGACGAAAGCATATCTTGCCTTTCCGATTCTGGCTGACTTTGACATCTTCATCCGTTCCGTGTATGGAACTATATATATAATCAACTGAGAGAGATCATGTGTAACAGGAATGGTTCAACACCTGTCCACCCAGATATCTGAACGACAACAAATAGGAGAGAACAAAGGAAACTATGAAACTCAAGTTTCGAAGTTATGTGTGATTATAATTGATGAAATGATTATGAACAATATATAAATAACTTGTGTTCGAAAGGTGTCGTCATCTAGTAATCAATAATACTACTGTTTCCCTGACTGTGTGTGATATATCTAATAAACAGACTAATATGGAATAATAAACGACAGTTTGACTTACTGTTGAGCTAGAACACGACGTGATAATAAATACGTCTTCAGATCACCATTTAGCATAAACTCCATAATTAAATACAAATGATTTTCTTTTGGATATAAACAAATACCAATTAAATGGACAATATTTCGATGATCTAAACTTCGCATTAATTTAGCCTCTGACAGGAAATCTGTTTTCCCTTCGTACGTCGCTTTATTCCCAATAACTTTCACAGCGACAGCTTCCCAACGACCATTACGCTTTGCTTCACCACCATATACCATACCGAATGCACCTTGACCAACACGACGATTTAAAACGATGTCAGTGGACGGAATCTTGTTAATTGAAAAAAACAAGCAAAAACAAATTAAATCATTTTCAATAACATTTAAAAAACAGTTTTTCGTGTTAACAAACTTGGAGCTTAAAGTTAACCGAATCTTGTCAAAAACCGAAAACACCTTTCTTTTGATGTAGTTGTGTGTTCTCTGAGCTAGCTAGCTTTCATCATTGCCCTCCTCCTACTAGGCAACATCTTCAGTGCATACTTCACTTCAATTTGAGGTGTGACCTTGAACGTCGTGTGTGTTCACACCCTCTAGGCTACTACTTGTATTCGTATTGGTACTGATCGTTTCCTAGACCCATGAAGTTTAACCCTTTGTGTGTGTGAGAGATTTCCTTCTTATCGATTGGTAGATTTTGTCTATGTCAATGTGTCTATAGATTGGCGATTCACTGGAATACCAGGCAGGCTTCTAAAAATTCTCTATCATTTTTGGTAGCCACACCCTCGGTGTGCTCGTGGTTGTCTTCTGGGTGATGGGAGTAGATCACTACTGACTCTTCCGTCAATCAAATAATTTCAAATAGTAAAAAATAAGCTGCCTATAATCTCCTCATTCCAAATGTTTTAGAAAAACGCATGCCTATAATCCTAAAATTCCAAGCAACCTGAAACACAACACAATAATAACAACAAATCTCGAGTAAATAGATTAAGACTTTACAGAGACACGTGTAACTATCATTCGCTTCAAGGTTTCAGTCCAAAGCGAAACTGACTGACTGGTTTCAATGTAGAACTTTGCACCGATGTGCAGCAGCACTTCGAGTCGCCACACTCCCTCCATTTAGCATACAAAGCAAGAGAAAAGAAGAAAAAGAGATTTAAAACGCAGATTTGAGGCAAAAATAATAGCAGTAATATGGAAGAAAAATATAGTTTTATTGGATATTATAAGTCACAAGGAGTGGATGCATCTGCGCCATTGAGAACGATTTTGAGTCGGCCGTATCAGCAATTGTCTCCAGCCTTCATCGTTTCTCACCACCATCCCGAGGATCCCAACCAGGCAGTCAGTCAGGAAGTCTATACCTCCCGACGTGGCACGCAGACTGGCTGACTTAAACTAACTGTTGTGGATTTGACTGACCGATGATGAAGCCATGTTTTGTTTTAACCAACACCGACTAACTCTTTTCCAACCAGATCCATCCTGTGTGAGTCGGTGGCTAACATTGCTCACCCTATTGTACCACCAGTTAACATGGAAGATAGAACGAACGCAGATATTCATGATGAAAGACAGCTAACCAGCAAGGCCTTTCATATCTCCCACTTTCAAAGGCCAACCAGTCAGATATCACATCTACTCCAAACCAAAGAGAGATGGCGTAAACTGGCCTACGCGAAACGAACCTTCTGTATCCATAAGCATGAAACGAAAAGAGAAACGCCACCAGCAATCAACAATCTATGCACATAATAACACAATAACAATGAATATAACCTACATCAATATCCTTTAATTCATTACACAAATTTTCATACGGTTGACGAATTCGTAGTTGTGTTTGCTTTAATTTACGTCGATAATACACGACAAACAGAATAAAGCATAATATAACAAAAGTAATAACTATTGTTATTGTTACAATCACTGTAGAACCTGTACAATTCACACCGAATAGTCGACTAATCGCTCCAAATGTACAATCATCTTGATTTTCTGATCCATCATGTGGAGGTCGTCCATTATTACCACCATTCCTACTACTCCAACTGACATCATTTAACCAACGTTCACCCATCAACTGACTAAAATGTTCAGAAGTTACAAATGCAGATAAATCGGATGTATCCAGGAGTAAAGATCTCATGAATGCAGCATCAACATCACCATCACCGTTAGGTTCAGTTTCAGCCTCACCATTGTTTAATAAGTCTGCCTGTAGACTCCATAATACAATAGGTATACTTTGATTGACTTGATATTGTCTTAATAACCAATAATCGGCAATACGTTCATTAAACGGATTAAATCTTAACTGAGCTGATTTGATACCATTATTATTATTATTATTGTTATTATTATTATTATCCTTTTTCTTGTGAACATAACGAAAATCTGTGTCTAGTGAAATCATCGGTTGCGTATATGTTGCTGAGGATGATGATGATGACGAGGATGTTGAATTATCCAAGATGATAAATTTTGATGAAATAGTATAATGAAAATCTGTTTCAGCAATTAATTCTTTATATGTTTCAGCTATTGATGTGGATGTATCAAACACGGAGATACAACTTGGATTTTGATGTAATAAATGTACAAGGGCTGTAGCTAATACAATCACTGATTCATAGGTATGTATTGCATAATCATGCGACGAATCAATATAATCAATATTTTCACTTTTTGTACTAAATACTGAACGTTGTGATTCCGCAGAATTTGACGCTGAATGATAATCGTGATCATCGTCATCGTTATGATCAGCATCAACATCATAATGTCCTCCATTGTATAATGGATGTTTAAATTTTTGAATATGTTCCCTTGACGAGGAAGAAGAACGTCGATGAATTTGTCGTTGTGTATTTTGTTTATGCATTAATGGCTCCGTAATTAATTGATGACCAATAGTAAATGTCCAACCAGTGATATTAAGCATTTCATCACGTGTACACTCTGGCGGATGTACATCAACTGATTGCCACCAATTCCCAGAAAGCCATGGATTTAAAAACCACACATAGCCTGAATCGAAATGCATTCCTAAGTGATATGCAGCACATAGGATGAGAGCAGTACCTTTAGCGAAATATTCGATCATAAATATACGACTTCGACGATCATTCATGAGTTTTAAACCCTGAAAATTAAAAAAAAACAGAAACATATATAAATATAATATGTATAGTCACATTAAAATACCAATTGTATGCGGGAGCACAACGGTAGGTAGAATGCTCTCCACCAACCACGTACCACGCGGTTCCGGGTTCGATCCCCGGCCGGTCACCGACGCACTCCTTTCCTAAAAAAGGAAGGTTGGGGGCATGAGGCTAGCAGCAACTCACACCACTGCTACCGGAACTTCAAGCTGCTAGCTTGAAGCCTTATGTCTCGGTGGGAACGTAAAGGAATAAGGATTTTTTAAAAATACTCATAATCGTATCAAGGTACACGACTCACTCACACTACTCACTTTCTTGCTTCGCCGTTTATATACATGTATAAGTAGAAATTGATGATGATTAGACAACATTTGATTGAATAAAATCAATGAGTAATATAAGATGAGAAGAAAGTACGTTCGGAAATAATGATAATGATAATGATATTAGTGTTATCAATCAATCAATCAGTCAGTCAAATACAATGGGATGGGATAGGAAGGGAAGGGAAATAAGACAAGTGTTTTTATAGTAAAATAAATAAATAACTTGTTAGAATAAATACACTTAGGTATGCAGTCACCTGGGGTTGTAGTGGGAAGTCGTGACCAGTAGGGTACAACAGGTCGAACGAATGTGTGTGAGGACAGTTACTCATTGAAGAAGACATTGTGAAGTGGTTGCGCTATGTCATGCAGTGAATTGGCAGAAGTTAGAATTCATGGACTGACTGGTTGGCTGGCAAGTCACTGGATTGGGTCCCAGTGAGTGAGTGAATGGCTGCTTAATGGTCTACGAACTAACTCACTCGGCGGCTTTGTAAGCAGAAGGTGGTCCCAGGTTTGAACCCAAGCGGTGGGGTGGGGTGGCTGCGTATCAGCTGTTTAGTACTGCCTGCATTCTATAATACAACGCCACCCTATCTTGGTCAGAGTAACATTACTTACTCACCAGGGATGAAGATGAATTAATAAAAACAGCAAACGATGATTGTTTTTTTTTGTTGTTCTCGATGTGGCTGATATGTTATGAAAGATAATGGCTAAATGTTAATCTGAGAAGTAGTCGCCTCCATGTATGTGTTAAAGGTTGAAAAAATACCAAAAAATGCTAAAAATAACAACAAATCAGCGATAAAAAGTAAGAGGCAGTGAACAATGTAGTACACCATCGAATGCATTCAACATCGTCATCAACATCGTCGTCATGATAACTTTTATCTTCCTTCATCGTAATCATGAAATTAGATGCATCTTCCTATTGTTACTATGTTTAATCTTGTTGACTACTTGTCAGCAGTTGTTTTCATTTCACTCATATTTCTTATCTCTGCTTAATTTAGAAGTTAATCCATGTAAATAGAATAGATAGTGAGCAATCTGATAAAGTACTTTTGTTTACCATAGAACAAGAACAATCTGTTCGGATGAATGTCTTTTTAATGAAGAAATTAATAATATTAAACAGTTGCTGCTGAGTGAAAGCGGTTATCCAGAGAAGTTCATTGATAAGAATATGATTCGAAAAATCAAGGCAAGCAGGTCAAAGTACCAACCAACAGTTCCTCGGTGATGATAACATCAGCGAGATATTAACACAGCGCCTTAAGAATACGACGGTAAAAAGAGCATTCCCTGCTGCTACCACTGCTGAATTATGCTGTGTCTTCGAAGCCACCCAACTCTATTTCGCATTCGGGAGCAAAGGATAAACTGCCTAATTTCGTCTCTTCTATGTGTGTGTGTGCATCTACCAGTTTGACTGCTCTTGCTGTGGAGTGATCCAGTGAGTTGCATAGGCCACACAATCAGGCACGTTTCTCGACGGATTTCCAAACATCATCGTGCATTGTGGTTAGTGAAGTAAAGGACAAACAAAATTCATTCACATTTAGCGCTATTCTATCTCACTCATCTTGTGGATACACAACACAGGATTGATGTTAACAAGGTAGGTGGCTTTCAAAGTCGTTTACCGCGCATACCAACCAACTAATCTCAACTTCGCCATAAGAGTTCGTCTACTAAATAGTGCTGAGGCTGGCTGTTGAGATCTACATTAAGAAGACTAACTTATGTATGCATCCAAAAGAAGTTGGTTGGTTCAGACACTGTCCTTACCTCGCTGGCCTTCAATGAAGGTTCTAATGATCCTCAATTTGTTGTTGTAGAGATTTCCTTAATTTTATTTGATATTTTATTTGCTATTATATATTCATGCTTCTTATTATAATTTATGCAGCTTTAATGAACTGTCTGTAATTCCATTGTGATCTTAATTAACAGATCGACAGTATTCAGAAAACACATCAATATTGTTATTGACGACTATTCTATAATAATATTCTATGTATATAAACATATACATACATAATTTTAGAGCCAGAGGAGGAAGAAATTATCGAAAAGGATATTCTTTAGTTTTCAATTGTTTTTTGTTTTCGTGTTTTTTTAGACGTCTGCATTTTGCTTTCATAAAGAATTATTCATCAAACTTGTCTTAGGGACACCTATATGGCAGCATAATTCAATACACTGTGTGCCTCTATATATATCAAAAGGGGTTCCTACAGGTGTCTGTATGTATACACTCATTAATGTCAAACCAAGCGAGAGAGAGAAATCCAAATAAAAGAACAGAACCACACCACATATATAATTATGAAGAAAAATATTTAAATACAACAATATTAATAATAATTTTTTACTCCTTTACATTCCCAGTGGAACATAGGGTGCCTTCGAGCTAGAGACTTGAGGTTTCTGTAGCAGTACTGTTTATTTTTACGGAAGGGGGTTTTTAGCCAGCCTCATGTCCCCAACCTTCCTTCTTTACCAGTCTTATTACTGGCTTAGCGAGCGAGGTAAAGAGGTGCGTCAGTGGCCGGGGATCGAACCCCGGACCGAATGGGGGCGTGGTTTTCGGCGACCATTCTATCGTTGTGTCACCGACGCAAATAATAATAATATACTTTATTCAAAAGGACGTATATATTTATACATAGGCATACCTGGTATACAGTGATATAGGTCAGTTGATTCTCTTTCATTACAAAATCAGCGATCAGTTCAATACCATTGGATTGAAACACTAACGGATCAAAAAAGTGATCATCTTCTCGAAAGACAGCAACACGACGCCAACCCCAATAGTTAAATAATCGGATCAAGATTAAGCTATATATGTATACATATACATATAGAGAAATACAACAGACAGAAAAATAAGGCGTCTTATTAATTGTATTTTATGGTTGTAATAAAAATCAATCTGTTGGATTTGTAAACAAATTACATTAACACACAGAAATAACTGACTGAGTGGTTTCAATGTAGGACTTTGCACTGATGTGCAGCAGCAGTTCCAGCCGACACACTTCACTTAGAACACACAAAGAAAGAAAAGCACGTAAAACGAAGACATTCAAAACAGAGATATGAGGCAAAAAGAAGAGTAGTAATATGGAAGAACAATATAGTCTTATTGGATATTATAAGTCACAAGGAGTGAATGCATCTGCACCAGCCAGCCGTCACCGAGAACGATGGGTTTTAGCCAGTCATATCATCTCCAATTGTCTCAAGTTTTCATTGGTTCTCACCACCATCACAAAGACACCAACCAGTCAGTCAGAGAGTCTACATCTTCTTACGTGACTGGCTGGCTGGACAGCTTAAACTAACTGTTGTGGGTTGCATTGACTGATGATGAAGCCATGTTCTCGCTTGACCACCACCACTGGCTAACTCTTTTCCAGCCTGATCCATCCTATGTCAGTCAGCTGACATTGCCCACTGTCGGTCGAGGAAGGTGATGGCTAGTTGTCATGCATGTATGCGTAACACATGTCCTTACTATCTCTCAATCGATTTAACTGCTTCACAGCCTAAGCGATTGACTTCCCTTCCTACCTACCTACTACTCGACCGACGCCTAACCTCAATATTGCTCACCTTACTATAAATTGGTGATATGACTGTCTTAAAGTAATCTTTTTCAGTGGGTGGCTGGCTGCCACTGGTGCAGATCATTCACTCTTTGATTTATCATATCTAATAGAAGTCTATTATTCTTCTATGGGCAGCCGGGAAGTAACAACCACCCACACACTACTCCAAAAGCACACGAAGCTCACCTGAGAATCAATCTATCTCAATAAAGTAATGTGTGTATGTGATGCGCAGATCATCATTAAACATACAATTTGTTATTTCAATTAAACAACTTTCCCTATAACCATCGACATAAAACAGATATCTCATCCGACAATACATCAACACAATACACAAAAAAATATCTCTGATGGCTACGGATGAAACTGACTCATTTTTCTCCTGAAAAAACAAACAGTCAATAAAAAAAATTCCAAGATTATTATTTATTATTACTTACTGTCACCACACACACACACGAACATACCTTACATGTGTCATTGAAGGAACAGTTCGAAAGAAATATGGATATTGACGACGTCTAGCGAATCGAACTGACTCAACCGTTGGACTGACAACAACCTGACGACGCATATTAGCCACTTCAACAACAGGCTCTATTGAATCAGAGCAAAGAGCAGCTGAAATAGAGAATGAAACAACAAATGTGAGAGTGTAGTGTAGTGTGGTATAACAAATAGAATTTTCTCCTTGGATAATAAATGACTGAATTTATTTTTATAGATATATTCCAAGGAATATATAAGGGTGTATAACCCCACACTGGGGTTCGAACCCTAGGACCTTCCAGTTACAAGGCAAGCTAGCTCGTAATACCATTCAGACACTTAGCGGGACCCGCCAATCCAATGGTCAGCCGGCCCATGAATTCTAACTTCTACCAATTTGTGATGCATTTAACGCGACTAGCACCAACCAATATCATCGTGGCGGGAAATCCGTCCTCACGCTTGACGACTGGACGGACCTCACTGGACTGCATATTTATTTATACATAGGAGTAAATGTGCTAAAGACTAAAGTTTAGAAGCAATCTATTACAATTTCATACTGTACATCAGAAAAAGTATCCTCGTTAATTGACAAAGAACTCTATTTATTTTTTTTGAGGAAACGATGACTAGCAGGCAATTTTGAAATGTGTTTAGATCTATTTTGTATGATACACATTATGAAGAAAAATGTCATTAAACAATATTGCAATTCACATTACAGATTGACGACACCACCGCCAACAACAACAACACAAAGAATGCGTGAACTTGAGAGTTACTATAGTTACCCTAGCTCAGCTCAGCTCATAACTGATAAAAAAGTCAAAATATATAATAGAGTATATTGATTAAACAACAAAATTCTTCTGTATGACGGGACAGAGAGCACTTTTGTTTTTTTTAATTTTTCCTAATTATATAAAACATACTTCAAATTCAGTTAAAAAAGGGTTCTTCGGTTATGACTGGAGGTATACGACCTAGTAGACAATGAGCGAATACCAACTTATCACCTACCTATATGACAAACTCTAATGAAGCGAAACAGACGAGAAAACAACAAAATCTCTGTGACCTCTATAAAAAGTAGTGTTATGTTTATGACATGTGAATTGACGTCTTTTCCATATGACAAATAACATACACTCACACACACACCTATAAAAACAAATACTCACAGTGACAATTTGACATTAGTCATTACGAATATGTGATGACTGCTTTTACGTAATTCTATTGGTACCAATGTCCATCGACAGGTGACCTACCCTATATAAGAACTGACTTCAATTTATGTAAAATTTTTGACTAATATATTCTGATGATTCTGCTGATGAAGAAGAGGGCGGTGTGGTGGCTTACACAGAGAAACGTCCGGAAAACAGATCTTGTTAGGATTTTCTTCTTTTCCTAAACACGCTGGGATTATTTTAAAATAATTTATAGTGTGATTCAATTTGACTAGGTGCTCAAATTATTATTCCAGGAAATTCGTAACATCTATGGTCTGGAAACCTATAATTTCAAGGTTTCATTCGTTAAAAAAACCACTTCTCCGAATTCTTTCGGGGAAATAATCAGAAAATAAATTAAATTATTATTGTCAAAGGTATATATGTGTACAAAACAGAGGACAACACATGCTGTGTCACTAAGAATTCTAAAGGTACATGTGAATAGTTATTAAGGCCCAAGCTGAAATTATTAGGTCGGTGGTCAATACAACTTCGCTTATAGTAAAAGGAAGACCTGCTTCATCAGAATAATAGAAGGTACTGACTATATCTTAGTTAGTGACCTCGTCTTTGCGAGTACTCATTAAAAAAATGTAATTTTATAAGATGGTCTAAATCTTACAAGAATGTGACTGATATACACAGACGACTCTTCCGTCACCATCAAAGGAATTTTTCGTTATTATAATATTATTATTATTGTTCCCTTGGGTTCTGAGTGGAACATACGGCTGGCTTCAACATTACCACACCTCCACTTTCTTCTATTTTCAGCTGACTAGCTCCACGATTGCCCGTAATCTCTCATCTCCTCCTCCAATTACCCTACACTATCTCCTCCATATCACCCTCTCACCGTTGCTTCATATTGGGATTCCACTCGAGTGATGGATGATGGCCTGCATTGCGCGCGATGTCATTCGACGGCTCCTCTCCTCAATGGATGCCCAATCAATCCATCTTCAATTCATTTCTCCTATATATTTTTTGAACGATCGGCTCTTGTTCGGTTGGTTTGTTCCAATGCAGAGTTTCTTGTTACCAATTCTTTGTGACCGGCTGGTTGATCATTTGATCTTCAGTATGGAGGCAGCCATCGAAGGTAACAGCTGTTGATGAAAGTATGCAGTGACCTGTTGGAAATCCTTATCGTGACGCACACGCAGTGCAAGTTTCTCACCCGTATAGAAGAACTGACTGACTTGACATTGGTGTTGAATAGAATCCGAATCTTGTTGTTTATGCATAGGCGGAGTGCAGTGCAGAGGATTTGCAAACTAGTTTCAGGTTGATGAAGGTGTGTGTATCTTGCTTGTCTTTCTGATTCCGGCTGGATGGCCAACTTTGACATCTTCATCCCTGTCATCCGCCTGTAGTTGAAACGACGCTTCATTTAATAATAGACAACATAGCAAACAGTATTTTTCCAAAGACGATTGAATTCGATGACCTTTCTCAAACTGCTTGGGTCAAGAGATAACTACTAGATGATAAATAATAAAGGCTAATCTCTTCATAAAAAGTCAACACATTCAGACAGACACTTGGAATATATGTATATGTCCGTCTCATTCATTGGCGAAAACCTTGAAAAGAACTTCAGAGTTATCTACAGAATACGTGAGAATCTTGCTGAAGGAGAAGGAATCAAACTTCTTCAAACCTCGCGGAAGCAATGGCAATTCATCACATTTTAAATCCTGAACTCTTCATACAGAAGTTTATTCAGTCACTAAATCCACAATGGACGCGATTTGCCTTAACATCGGATATATAGTAAGTCTTCGTTGAACGTCTATTGTTTTAATCAGATGGTAACCAGTCGACAAGCGGTCCTAAAAGCCAAATTATTATTATCATTATTATGTCTTTCAGTTCTCGTAGTAGGGAAGTAGTTTCCAAATCACCTCTCGATCGACACTGTCTGCTGAAGATCTTTTCAGAGTCGATGAAGTTGAGGTAAAGATGGAGAGCTGAATGCCATTCCTGATACGTTCTTTCTTTCTTATTCCTTTACGTTCCCAATCGAACATACGGCGCCTTTAAGCTATAGCTTTGAAATTCCGTTTACAGTGGTGTTTATTTTTACGGGATGGGGTTACCGCTAACCTCATGCTCCAATCTTCTATCTTTACCGGTCTCATTACTGGCTTAGAGTGGCAAAGAAGTGCGTCGGCCAAGAAGTGAACCCAAAAACACTCAGGTGCGTCGTTCTCGGCGAGCATTCTACTGCTGTGCCACCGACGCACATGATAATGTGTAGCGTTGCGATTTGATCGATGCATGACTTGTTCCTCCTGAATCCAGCCTGTTCTCATTGAAGTTTTCTATCCAGGGCGTGTCTGATTCTCTCCAGGGTGATGCAACTTAGTATTTTGCTTGGGATAGACAGGAGCGGCATAATGCCGCGCCGCCACGCTCAACTTACTAACATCCAACGCTTCACTGAATGGGATATAGACACAGGTCCTCTGTCCCTAACTGAGGTTACTAAGGCTGTCACTAGTCTGTAACGAGGCAAAGCAGCAGGATCTGATGGAATGACTCCAGAGGTATTTAGGTATGGCGGAGACAGTTTAGTGTCTGCGTCAACTAAGGTATTAGGCAGCGTCTGGCAATCAGAGGAAGTCGCGTCGGATTGGTGTAAGTCATTGATTATCCCGATATATAAGAAGGGAGACAAGTTTTCCTGTGGATTGCTGCCTTTTTTAATCCTCCACCTCCTCCTCCTGTATTTAATGTTTATTTGTTTATTCAAAAATGTGTCGACTTTCCCTGAAAGTATCTCAGCAAAACAAGACACTGAGAGTATTGTATTTCAATATGACTGAGATTGAATACAAGCATAATTCCTATTCCATTTCCTCAAAAGTGTAAAAAATACACAGTGAATCATCCATCATCTAGCAAACTGACCGACTCACCAATAACTCCAATGATTTTCTGATCTTTTGATTTTGTTACTAAATCGAAATAATCATTTAATACAACGTCTTGAGAACAGGTCAAGTTATGCACATCCAGTGTTAACGCATATTCAGTATTGCTAAAGTAATCTGGATTAGTATTCACAAAACTGATGGCTTGTTGAGCGACTAAAAAAACAACAACAACAACAAAAGAAAGAAAAACAAATAAACAATAATGACGAATGTGAGTAATGAGTAATATTCAATATAATAATAGAATCATTACTCAATGCTGTTAATATAAGGATAAAACTTAGTTTTATTTAATAATTTTACTATTTTTTTCAAATACTCTCAAGTCTGTGAAGAGATGAACAGCACTCAGTACGAAAAATAAGATCCGGGCCAGAACACATCAGCAACACGGATCTCTGACAACGAACCAACCCAACCCAGCACGAGCCGATTGCGTGCAACAAATATGCAGGAAAAAATCGAGGTGGATTGGATTGAATTGACTATACTCTGAGAAAACAAACCATCAAGTGAGTAGTGACATCACACGCCAGGCTCTCTCCCCCTCTGTCGAGCGGAACCTGAAAAGGAGGGAAGCGGCGATTTAGTTGGTCGTCAGTGAGTGAGGGTGACATGCAGGAGGAGGTGATGCGAAGAGGAGATGAAAGAATGTGGGCAGATGTGGAGCGAGGTGAGAAAACGTCGGTGGCGGAGAACGCCGAACGCAATGGAGTCGTGCGGCTGAAGCCCTGCGCTCCTCTTGGAAGTAAAGGAGACAATAACAACTAAAACAGGGGAAAAGGCAGAGGTGGAGAAATAAAGCTGTTTTTGTCCAATAACCTGCAACAACAAACAGGTCTGATGGGAACACTGTGTTCTACAGCATGGGAGAAACTTCATTCGATGGAAAGATCTAGTGACTGAAGTCATCCCTGTTGAATAAATGTTTACAGGACAGTAGATACCCTTGAAATTTTATTTATGAGCACCATAAAAACAAAAAATGAGAAGAAATCAGTCTTCAAAGACAATGAGGCATTTGGAAGTATGAAATATAGAAAAAATAAAAATGCTGCTTCTATAAACGAAGTTATCCAGCTACCACCACTACCATACTAGTCACAGCGTGGTGGTCTGATACACAGACAACAATGTGTGTTTCAATGGAATATTAATTTAATTAATTTAATTTTGATTTACAGCTTGATTCCACACCCTATTTTCAGGACAAGTGTGGAATTTTCAGCATGGATATCGGTAGCCAAAATTCAGGCCGACCATAGATATCGGGTGTGCGTAGGCAGTGGATCGAACCCCGGACCATGTGCATGGTCGGCGAGAGTCCTAACCACTGTGCCACCGACGAAGTCTTGTATTGTAGAAGAGACGTTTCATAGTTGCTTGAGTATCTTCCAATCACTGATCCGCACTATCAATCACAAAATTCTTGTTTGACGACCAAATAGACAAATCAGTTTTGCAACATATTTAGGACTGCAAACATGAGAAATTTAAACTTTCACTATAACAGAGGCAGTGTAACAGACAAGATATTATTATCCTCCCTCAATAATTCTTTAGCTAAATTTCTTCTTTTCTTTCCAAAAGTATTTCTTTATCTAGTATTTGAGATACCATTGCAACACAACATAAAATTGCAGTGAAACATAACTGGAAATTATTCTCACAAATACTACCACCACAATTCGATAGTGCATTAGCAACAGAGTACTACACTATATACGTGTATCTGAACATTCTATTTCATGTCGTTTATAGTAAACCGAAATCACACGCTGGCTCAGTGATGATTGGTTAAAGAATATAAAGTTTATAGATATATAAAAATAGCGAGTCAGTGGCAAAACGATGGAATGCTTGCCAGCCATGCAGGTGGTCCGGGGTTTGATCCCCGGCCGGCCACCAACGCACTCCTTTACCTCGCTCGCTAAACCAGTAATAAGACTGATTAAAGAAGAAAGGTTGGGGGTATGAGGCTAGCAGCAACCCCGTCTCCTAAAAGAATAAACACCACTGCTACCGAAACTCCAAGCCTCTAACTGGAAGCCCTATGTTCCACTGGGAAAGTAAAGGAATTATATATATATATATATATATATATATATATATATATATATAGTGTGAGGGTGTTCTGAGTAACTTCGTCGGGGAACGTTAAACTTTAAGCACCACTAACTACCAATCAGTGAATCAGCCTTCAACGAACCAATCACATGGAGGAGGCATTTTTGGTTATGAAAAAACTGTATCCAACTGTTACATAGGGCACCTTTCTCTGATATGTGATAGAAACATTTCCCAGTTCAGCATAGGAGGATTAATTGAAAAGTTACACCACATTCTGTACATACATTCATCCAAATGACTATAAATGACATCACTTTAAGATCCATTTATAGCCTTAATCCTGCTTTTAACCGTCTCCAAAAGCCCTCTATAGAATTGGTGTGTGTCCCTGTAATGGGCTGCACAAAACATTAGAATGGTTCACGCTGTGATGAATATATCCAAGGTATGACAGGGAGTTATAACCCCTTTCCAATCATCGGTGTGTATTATAGATCCCTGTTTCACAAAGTCGAGTGATAATAGGTACTGAGTTGGTTGACCTTCTATTTGCTGTTCTCTCGACGAATCCTTTCTGTAGGGAGATATCATATAAACCAATCACCCAAACATAATTCGCTCGTTCTCGACTTCGGTTTCATTTTTTCTTCAGTAAGACAGTTTCTTCTCCTAGTGATGAAGTAACTCTTCATTTTCCATGATGAGATGTCTCTGCAGTGCTGGTACTACTAAACCGTTGATACAAGACAATTTTGAGTTTCAGAAGGTGCACTTCTCACAGGCTGTTTTAAAACCCAGTAATCACAAATACACAAAATCTGAGTTAAGGACAGATAGGACCTGTCAACAAGATGTTCCTACGAAATATTATAATCACCAGCTCACATTTCCTGACGTAACTCATCTCAAATAAATTGCACAACGATGCACATAAATCCAACAATCGACCTGCTGAAGCTTTTTTCACTCATGACAAATCCACATGAAAAAGTTCCTTCCTTCCTACGCAATCCCACATCCAAGCAAAACTGGAAAAGCTTATCTTCATCAAACTGCAAGCGCAACTGCGCGTTAGAGCAGGCATTTGACTCGAATCAAGCGGGACAGAACCTTCAACTCACGTGGATGAATCTCATTGGACCATTCAAAGTCATTCGCTGATTGGCAGTAAGTGCTGCTTGAAGTTTAATTTGGCCACTTTATCTTTCATTTTCTAAGTGTGAAACTTGAATTGTATGTTTTGTCTGCTCTAATTCGGGTGTTGTAACTCGCATACTTAATCTTAGAATATTCTTGTTCCTTTAATATGGGTACCGACAAACTTTTTTTGATTACAGCTTGATTCCACACAGTATTTTTTGGTACAGGTATGGAATTTTTCAGCATGTGATATCGGTCGCCCAAATTTTGCAGGCCGACCATAGATATCAGGTGTGCGGCGGCAGGGTATCGAACCCCGGACGATGTGCATGGTCGGCGAGAGTCCTAACCACTGTGCCACCGACGCACTTACTGACACGTGTAGTTGTTTTCTTTCAAACTCACTGTATTATTTAACGATGTAATACCTTCTAACTAGCTGATTAAAATATCGTAACACACTTATTCCCCAATTCATGAATTTATGTGAATAAAGCCAGAACAACAGCGGTTTATGCAAAATAAGATGATGTCATTAATTATCACCAACGATGATATTCTTAATTGTGGTAGACGGTGTGGAGCGAGGAGATAGGAATACGCCGGACAACTGATAAGAAGACTCTAGAAGATCAGGATTTAGCGTGTGGATGATTTAGTCACACAAACTCGAAGACTTATAGGTAGGCGAAAACTGGCAACAAACGGGATGAAGAGGCTAACTGGCTGGTTGGCAGCGAAGACAAGACTCTATCCAGGTGAAAACAGAGAAGGCAGAGACGGAGGTGATGGAGATAACCAGCGAACGGCAAAACAACAACCAGCACCAATCACCATCACTCACTTTCATCGACTTCAGAAACGCCGTAGTAGGCAGCGTCGACCACGAAGTAACTCATTAAGCACTTACTTCACTAATACGGAGTGGAGCACACCACGGATGATGTCTCTTACAAAATTACAGACTTACAAACGAAAATCAACAACTTGGTAGGAGAGGCAGACAACAGAGGTCATCAAGAGAATCTAGAAAAGACAGAGGTGTGATGAAAATACTTGACCAACACCAACAACAATAAACAACGATCAAACTATCACAATGGAGGAAATCCAAAGGAAATTCATCTTCACTTAGCTGAGACTGGGAAGCAAACTCTCGATTACAGGTGGTACACAGTACGGATGAAAATGCCAAAGCCTGGTTCGGAAAAGCAAAACAAACCGTCATTCTCAAGTATCAGTTTATAGGGATTTGACTAATTGGTTACAGGATTTCATCACTGGCTGACATCGATTAGAGAGCATTGGAAAACCTGGGAGTATTGGACAGCTGTTTCGTCTTAGTTTCAGACTCTTTATCAGTACGCACCCATCCCATTGGGGTTCGAAATCAGCACCTTCTGATCACAAGGCGAGCTAGCTCATAGACCATTAAGCCACCGGGACCCAATCCAATGACCCATGAATTCCATGAATGTGTAACCAATCTATCAAGTCCCTACAAATCAATACTTGAAAATCAATAAGATACTCGCTAGCTACTGGACCTATTCACGTAGGTAGTTACTTGGGGTTCAAGTGGAATTTCGTGACCAGTAGGGTGCAGCAGGTCGGGTGTGAGGACCAATACTCGCTGAAGACATTGGCTAGGGGTCACGATATATCGTGAATTGGCAGAAGTTAGAATTCATGGGCCATTAGGTCGGGTCCCAGTGGCATAATGGTCTACGAGCCTTGTAACCAGGTCTTAGGTTCGAACCCCGGTGGGTGCTTACTGATGAAGACTCCCAAACAAGGACGAAACAGTTGTCTAGTACTCCCAGGTTTTCCAATGGTCCTCTAACAGATATCAGCTCATGATGAGATCCTGTGAATTTTCATTTATCTGAAATCAGTTTGGAAATCTACTGGCACTCAAGTACAAGGTAGAAGATCCAAATTTCTGTAACTAATGTGGCCACTCATTGCTTCTATATGGCGTTCCCCAAAAGCATTTTCAACAGGCTGAGGATTTTAATCAACAGCTGGACTTTATACTGAAGATCAGATTAATCAGCCATAAAGAATATGCAACACGGACGCATAAGAGTTTAGCCAACCAGTACTCAACACAGCCAGTCTATCGCCCAATACATATGCAGAAGAATATTTGAATGAATTGGGCATATGCTAGCTAAGGAAACCAACAAAGTGATATGAAACACACATACACACATCAGGCCATCGAGAAGAACCCGGATGAGGAGAGATGGTTTGAATGTCTGAGAGGGTGAAACAGGGTATATCATGTGAACACGAAATTACGAAAGCTTATTGGCGGTAGTGGAGCCATGTGAGAATGACAATAGAGGATCGAGTGCGATAGAGATGTGATGCTGAAGCTGTTTGTTCCACATGGAACGCAAAGAACAAACGATAATAATAATAATAATACAATATGGTGTTACATTAATATATGTGTAAAAATTGAGCACTGTGGTAGTAAGTGATTCCATAATAGTTTGTTTATTAGATATATCACACACACAGTCAGTCAGTAAGTGGAACAGTAGTATTATTGATTACTGGATGACGACGCCTTTCGAACACAATTTATGTATTTATTTTTTGTTCATCAATTACAATCACACACACACAACTTCGAAGCTTGAGTTTTATAGTTTTCTGTGTTCTCCCCTATTTGTCGTCGTAGGGGTAATAGTAGAATTTTCCAAAGATATCTGGGACAGGTAATACGACAGAAAAACTAAGTAGTACGAAAGAAAATCTAAGACAGGAAGTGAGGCATATAAGAGAAGCTTTGAAAATTAATTAATAATTACCCTGATAAATTAATCAGGAGGTATGTAGGGGGAAATGTAAAAATAAAATAAATAATGATAGTAGTGATAGTGATAATAATATTCAAGTATTGGCTTGTAGGGATTTGGTTGATTGGTTACAGGATTTCATCATGAGCACTGACATTCGTTAGATAACCAATGGAAAACAAGCTGAAATTAGTGGACAACTGTTTCGTCAGCCTAGTTTGGGACTCTTCATCAACACGCACCCAGCGGGGTTCGAACCCAGGACCTTCTGGTTACAAGGTGAGCTCGTAGAGCATTCATCAGCCACTGGGACCCGATGCAATGGCCCATGAATTCTAACTGCTGTCGATTCACGATATAGCGCAAATGCTAGCTAATGTCTTTAGCGAGTATTTGTCCTCACACACGACCTGCTGCACCCTACTGGTCACAACCTCCCACTAAAACCTCAGGTGATGATAATAATAATAATATCAATGACGACATACATGTGAAGCATGCCCAGGGGTTGATGACAACACCAACAATAGAGAATTTAAGTCGCCATCAGTAGTACTCCCATACAACGAAACCACCTCACGGCGAAGAATCCTTAACAATGCAGGCAGGAATAAAAGTGGCTGGCACTCAAACCACCCTCAGATAAGCGGAGCATAAAAACCTATCAGCAAAATCTAGATTCGTTGACCCGGATAAGATAAGAAATCTGGAGAATTGCTCAGCTATAGCACTCACTACATGCAATTACATACAGCCATACAATATAGGATGATGGGATAAGATGACAGTTTTAAAATCTAATACAACTAATAGGGTAGAAGGAGGGAGAGATTGATAACGGAAGTTTTGTTCATCAAATCAACTGAGACGGGGGAATACGTGTAATAGGAATGATTCAACACCTGTCCACCAGGACATTTGGCCGTCAACTAATAGGAAAGAACAAGAAAAACTATAAAACTCAAGTTTCGAAGTTCTGTGTGTGTGATTATAATTGATGAAATGACTATGAACAATAAATAAATATATAAATTGTGTTCGAAAGGCGTCGCCACCCAGTAATCAATAACATTACTGTTTCACTGACTGTGTGTGTGATATATTCAATAAACAAACTAATAGATGGAATAGTGTTTTACATTGGGGATTCAATAGTTTTACTGATCTCAAAAGTAACAATACGATGAACAGTGGGGGAACGGGGAAATTAGCATTTTTTATAAAGATAAATTTTGTCTTGAAGTGGAGATCACCTTTACATGGTATAATGATGAAAAGGTATGAGAAAACTTTTAAAAAACAGCCTTCATTAGTTCTCACCACCATCCCGAGGACCCCAACCAGGCAGTCGGTCAGGCAGTCTACACCTTCCTACGTGGCTTAAACCAACAGTTGTGGATTTCAATGACTGATGATGAAGCCATGTTCTCATTTGACCACCACTGGCTAACTCTTTTCCGACCTCATCCATCCTATGTCAGTCAGTGGCTAACATTGCCCATTGTCGGTCGAGGAAGGCGATGGCTAGGCAGGCAGGCATGCGTAACACATATCCTTATCATCTCTCTCAATCTATGTAACTGTTTCACAGCCTCGTCGATTGAATTTCCCTACTCCTTACCTAGCACTCGACTGACGCCTAACCTCAATATTGCTCACCTTATTATACCACCACCTAACAACACGGGAGATAGAACGCAGACACCACCTATGATCAAAGACAGTTAGCCAGCCAGCAAGGCTTTTTATGTCTTCCACTTCTAATTGCCATATCTCACTCAGCCAGCCATCAAGGAGGAGGGAGCGAACTGCCCAGCAGTACACACGCCCTATGGTCGACAGCCAGCCAGTCAGCCAGATATCAAGTCTACTAAGCCAAAGACAGTGTAAACTGTAGGGGGGAGGGGAAGTCGACATTCTTTACAAAGATAATTTTTGTCTTGAAAGGCAGATCAACCTTGATGGGATAATGATAAAAAGGCATGAGATTTTTCTTAAGAAAAAACAAAACAAACAATATACTTACCATGATCCAAATTGGAAACAACCCATTTGCCGTAGAAAGAGAAAAGTCCAGCGATAGTAAGATTTTGTTTTTTATTCCATCCTTCAGTCCATGAAGACCAACGTGTTGGAGATAAACGAATCCATTTGCAAGCAACATTTCGATAGTGAGTTTGTATATCAACACCGGAATTAGGATCTAAGCTGTTCGCCTGTAATAAATAAATCATACCCCCAGATAGATAAGGTGACCAACATAAGAAACACACACATATTGTGATATATACATTGTTGATGTTAGATGGTTGGAGGTGATACGCCATAGGAAGGAAGCCTTGCCTAGTCAGTCAGTCAGCAAGGCGTGTATCTGGAACCGCATTTAGGGAAGAACTCAGGACCCCTCTGGAATTTGAAACCTCGTCACCACCCAGTGAATACTGCAGTGAGTCAGAGACGTTACCACCACTGAGCTATTCGGGCACCAAACAAAGGACTAGCAAGACACATCACACTAGTTACCAGCTAGTGTCCAATCAAAGTCAATCCTACGGGAGGTCAGTCGCGAGCCAGCCCAAATAGCTCTTCAGTGGTGGTAACGTCTCTGAGTCCCCGCAGTACTCACTGAATGGTGACGCGTGGGTTCGAATGTCAAAAGGAGGGACATGAATTGTTCCTTCAATGTGGTTCCAGATACACGCCTTGCTGTCTGACTGACTGCTGAGTGCCAACTAGCATGAAACCTTGGTCGAGAAAGGCTTCCTGTGGCCGATTGCCTCCAACCATCTAACATCAACAATTCAAAGTGGCATGGTGGCCACATTGTACACCTGAGTGGCTGATAAAATTCAATCTGCACTAAACAAAGGACTAGACACACACACACACACACATCACACTAGTTACTGACTAGTGTGTCCAATGAAAGTATAGTGATACAAAATTTCGTGGCAATCAACAGTCAGAAGAACATCGGCTACTTTCTAAAGGATTAACTCAGAAAACAACATATAAAACAAACAAAAAATGAGAAGTACTCACAGACTTTAATAAATCTTCATACTCTGACTGAGAAAAATGCATTCGATCAACTAATTGATAAATTAAAGGAACTGTACTCTTTAGTTTAGCCCATGATAATTTAGTTGCCTGTTGGGATTCGAAACGACAAAAAGATTTTTTCTTGACATCTTGATGATTATTGTCCAGAATGGTTGAATCCAGCTGACTAGTACAGCGATGAATAGTATCAAATACAACCACCTGTGACACTGTTGAATTTATTTGGTTTTGTTTGACAGGAAAATGTAAAGCAGAAGGAAGTGGAGACGCACCAGGTCCATGAGAAGGATACCAGTCTATGATTGACATAGTAGTAGGAGATGATGACAGTTGTTGTTCAGCGGAGGAGGAGAAGGAGGACGAGGAGGATTGTGAAGATGACTTAGAAGAAATAATATCTGATCCAGTGAAGTAATGAATGAACTCTACAACAACAAAAAAGAAAGCAACGCGGTATATTAGAATTATCAAAACTTTTGTACCTGAAATACACAAATATAAAATTAATCTTCTATAGTTGGTTTGTAAGGATTAGTTTTGTTTTTTTACCAGTTAATCACGGATTGATATCAGTTACAGGAGCATTGAAACCCAGGGAGTACTGGACAGCTGTTTCATCCTAGTCTTGGGAATCATTGGCAGTACGCACCCACTGGGATTCGAACCCAGAACCTTCCGGTTACAAGGCAAGCTAGCTCGTGTACCATTCAGCCACTCACCGGGACCCAACTCAATGGCCAGCGGATGAATTCTAACTTCTACCAATTCGTGATTTAGCACGACCCCAACCAATGTCGTCGGTGGGACATCCATCCTCACACTTCACCAATGGATGGACCTCACTGGCTGCGAATTCTCACCACCGACGACATTGGTTGGGGTCGCACTAAATCACGAATTGGTAGAAGTCAGAATTCATGAGCCATTGAGTCCGGTCTCAGTGAGTGGTTGAATGGTTTAACGGGATTGCCTTGTAACGGAAGGTCCTGGGTTCGAATCCCAGTGGGTGCGTACTGCCAATGATTCCCAAGACTAAGATGTCCAGTACTTCCTGGTTTTCAGTGCTTCTCTAACTGATATCAATCCGTGATCAACTCGCTAAAAAATATAAGATTAATATATTTTCATGTGAAGTCAGTAATAAATATTTTTTACTCCTCTCACATAATTGATTTGATGTATTAAAAAAAACTTGTAAGTCTTCGTGGGGAGAATCAAACACAGCGCCCTGGATGAAAAACCTCGTCCCACGGGACAGGCTGGATTCAGGAGGAACAAGTCATGCATCGATCGAATTGCAACACTACGTATCGTCATTGAACAGAGTTTGGAATGGCAGTCAGCTCTCTACCTCTAACCAAACTTAATCGACTTTGAAAAAGCCTTCAGCAGACAGTGTGGATCGAGATGTGATTTGGAAATTACTTCGCTACTACGGGGTGCCGCCAATAATTATACATCTCATCCAACAGTTGTACGATAACTGCTGAAATGAAAATGGGAGTATGATAAGCTGGCTGCCTACCACTATCTCCAATGATTTTCCTGATTGCGGTAGACTGGATAATGCGACAGACACACAGCGGGCAACGAGAAGACAGGCATAAAATGGACCCTCACGAAAAACCTGGAGGATCTGGACTTCGCCGATGATATATGTCTGATTTCCCACAAACTGTGAGATATGCAAGTGAAAAGCAACAAGTTAGCAGAAGAAGCATTAAAAATAGGACTCCAAGTAAACATAGAGAAAACAGAGGTGATGAAGATTCCTGGGCAACACCAACAGCAACAACAGGCAACAATCAGCATAAATGGGAGGAACCTGAAAAAAACAACCTCCTTTACCTACCTGGGAAGCATCGTTTCAAATACAGGCGGAACTGACGAGGATATCAAAGCAAGGATCGGGAAAGCAAGACAAGCTTTCATTTCTCTCAAGTCTGTATGGAGGTCAACAGCAAACAGCATGAAAATGAAAATAAGATCCGGATTTTGAACTCCAATGTGAAGTCAGTGCTATGATATACGGATCAAAGACTTGGCACCTCGCCGCACCGAGTCACGAAGGCCACTTCAAACTACAGACCTTCATCAACAGCTACCTTCGCTCAATACTCGAGATCAGATGGTCGGCCAGAAAAGATCAGCAACAGGGATCTCTGGGAGCGAACCAACCAGGAACTGATTGTGCAACAAACAAGCAGGAGGAAATGGAGGTGGATTGGCCATACTCTGAGGAAACCAACAAGTGACATCGCAAGAAAGGCCATCGCTCGCGTGGAACCCAAACGGGAAGCGACGAGTTGGTCGTCAGTGCGACAGTGACATCGAGGAGGTCATGTCAAGAGGAGATGAAAACATGTGGGCAAACGTGGAGCCAGTTGAAAACGTCGGCAGAGAACCGAACGCAATGGAGACGTGCGGCTGAAGCTCTATTTTCCTCTAGCAACTAAAAGAAACAATAATAATATATAAATCTAAGTGGAATACAAAGTAATTCTTAATAAACAAGAAATTGTCACTCCTTAGAAACGAGAATAGGTTGTAGTGTTTGAATTCTTGTAAATAATATACACTAATATACAGTGTTGATATTGAATTAGGCAGATTTAAAGACAGAAATGTTCATGCTTATATTGAATCACTACATTGTATGACAAACATATATATATATATATCTTTGCAGAGACAAAGAGCATTCCCCAAATCAATGGATGAAAGGAAATGCTGACTGACTGACCAGTTTCAACGTAGAACTTTGCACTGATGTGCAGCAACAGTTCCAGTTGCCAAACTAATTCCATGTAGAAAACACAACAAGAGAGTAAAAAGAGATTCAAAACAGAGATATGAGGCAAAGAGAATAGTAGTGATATGGAAGAACAATATAGTTTTATTGGATATTATAAGTCACAAGGAGTGGATGCATCTGCGCCAGCCAACTAGTCATCACCGAGAACGATCACTTTGAGCCAATCATTTCATCACCAGTTGTCTCCAGCCACCGCTATTACTTTTTACCATCCTGATGACCCCAACCAGGCAGTCAGTCTACATCTTCCTACGTGGCTGGGTAGCTGGCTGGCTTAAATTAACTGTTGTGGATCTCACTGACTGATGAGGCCACGTTTTGTTTCGACCACCACTAGCTAGCTCTATTCCAACCTGGTCGTATGTCAGCTGGCATTGCCCGTCGAGGAAGGCGATGGCTAGTGATGAATGCGTAAAACATATCAATCGATGTAACTGCTTTACAGTCTCGTCTATTGATTTTTAAAAATGCGGTTAATTTCTTTATGGCTTTCACTTTCTTGTTGTATTGAATCAAACATGAGTAGCGAAAGGCTAGAAAAATCTTACCATTACGAAAATTGGAAGGAGAGCACAGATTTACATCACATTCCTCATTTTGAGCATCGACTGGTTGATCAGTTGAATGAAATGTCTTCTGACAATTCTTTTCTTTTTCTGGCGACTGTTTAAACACAAAGTTAAGTGAGTTTATATAAACGATAAGTATACAACAAAAACGGGGTAAATTAGTGTTTTAAAATAGTTACTGAATAAAGAATATTCTTTTCGATAATGCTGGTAAACACTGCAAGTCATGCTTACTACACGACCGACAGCGGGTGATTCCTCAATTAGAAGATGAAGTACCTAGACTAGGACTAGCCACTTCTCTAATTGTATCTATTAATTCAAGGGCAACTGTGCTCGTGGTGGCGCGAGCTATATTCGCCACTGCTCTAGGAACTTGATTTTTCGTGCTCGGTAGGGAACATCTACCAGTATGACTGTGTAAAGGTGGTGTAAAGATAGTTGGAGGCGATCGGCCATAGGAAGCCTTGCTCGGCCTACGTTTCGTGCGAGTTACCACTCACTAGTCAGCGAGGCGTATCTGCAGCCACGTTGAAGGAAATCATGTTCCTCCTGAGATTCTAACCCACATCACCCAGTGCTGCAGTCAGAGACGTTACTATTGAGTTATTCGGACTCGCGATTGACCTCCTGTAGGACTGTGGTGGCTATTTGATTGGACACTAGTAACTAGTGTGACGTGTCTAGTCCTTTCTTTGGTGCAGACTGAATTCTATCAGTCAGGTTTACAATGTGGCCACCATTCTAGGTAGCATGGCAACACTTCTTGGCCGACGAAACAGGTTATTGATCGAATTTCCTATTATTATTATTATTATTATTATTATTATTATTATTATTACTATTATTATTATTATTCTAAATAAAATTCGAATTCCCCTGAAAATGGAGACTTTTTTTACCAATTGCGTGAGAAAGTTTAGATTACCGATAAGAATTAGAAGTCATGCATGCGCCTCCTCTGTAGTACATATCCTCTCAGCAATATATATTGCGTAATCTTATCACTTAGGTATCACATCCATATACATCTAGACCATTTTTTGAATGGTTATTATTTTCATTGTTCCTTTGGGTTCCGAGTAGAACAAGGGCTTCAACGTAACATCTCCATTTCATCCTGTTCTCCACAGTCCTCTTTAACTGGCTTCACAACTGTCTATTGGCTTTCACCTCCTCACACGATCTCCTCCATGTCACCCTCAGACACCCCACTCGTCGTTTTCTATTCGAGTTCTAGTTAAGGGTTTGGATTGCACGAGATGTCACTCATAGGTCTACCTCCATTTCCTTCGTCATAGTTGTTGAACGACAGGTTCTTTGGTGGTTTGTTCGCATAGTTCCTTGTTGTCAATTCTTTCTGACCTGTCATTCGATCTTCATTATGAAGCCAGAGAAGGCATTTGTAGCCTGTTGGAAATGCTTTTCGTGATGCGTTCTCCAAATTGCTGACCCATATAGAAAAATTGACTGACTGACTTTTAATATGGGTGTGGAGAATCCGAATCTTGTTGTTTATACTGAGTGCAGTGCGTCGGTGGCGCAGTGTTTAGGACTCTCGCTGACCATGGTCCGGGGTTCAATCCCCTGCCGACGCACACCTGATATCTATGGTCGGCCTGCAAAATTTGGGCTACCGATATCACATGCTGAAAATTCCATACCTGTACCGAAAAATACGGTGTGGAATCAAGATGTAATAAAAAAAAAAAAAGCAATACTTAATCAAATACTGCGATGTTATATATATATAAAGCTTTGCCGCGTGTCTATGAGTGGTCGACGTAAAGTAAGCCTAGTATGCACAATTTCTGAGGCAAATAGTTCACAATTCCCTTTTTAAAAAATTTAGTTTAGAGAATTCAAAACAACGATGGTAACCACTTTCATTCCAACTGCTATCACACCAGACTTTATGAAGTGGTAAAATCCACAACGAAAATTTTTCCAAAAAATGACAAATTCATTGATACATACAAGTTCTAACACCAACATCAATGTTTCAGCAACTTTTCTGGACAGTTAAAACAGTTTACATTTGGTATGTGGCAATTTTACAGCGGAAACAACACATCAAAATGAATTGTGTTTTATTAGATGGTTGGAGACAATCGGCCACAGGAAGGAGGCCTTGCTTGACCTAGGTTTCTTGCTAGTTGGCATTCACCATCTGTTAGCAAGGCGTGTATCTGCACCCCGATTGAAGGAACAGCTCACGTCCCTTCTGAGATTCGAACCCAAACGTCACCACCTAGTGAGTACTGCAGTCAGTCAGAGACATTACCACCACTGAGCGATTCGGGCACCAAACAAAGGACTAGACACATCACGCTAGTTACTAACTAGTGTCCAACCAAAGTATCCAATACAGTCAGTCCTACAGGAGGTCAATTGCGAGGCAGCCCGAATAGCTCAGTGGTGACAACGTCCCTGACTGCAGCACTGGGTGACGCGGGTTCGAGTCTCAAAAGGAGGGACATGAGTTGTTCCTTCAATGTGTATTAGCATAGTATGTACTTTTTGTTATATATAACTGAGTAGTTGCCATGCATTTTATTTTATTATTATTGTGAAACAACCTTCTTGCTAGTTGTAAAGTGATTGTAAAGAAACCACGATATCATCCCGTGAAACTTGTAAGCCTTCTAAATGCCTCAGCCAAATTATCCGTTGTATTATTTTATAAGTCACCACCACTCACATTCCGCTGCATACGCTTTTAGTAAAAGTAAAATTGATAAAAATAAATAAATAAACAAAACTACCTCCATCAATTTGGACAGTTGTGAAACAAAGCCTTCTTCAGATGAAACAGCCCATCGATTTACTGGGCCTAAAGGTCCATTATCAATTACTCTGTTGTGTGGTATCCAAAAGTTTGTTGTCGTTCCCAAAGATAACCATAATTCAAGATTGATATGAACTTCAGGCATTTTGAAACAACTGTAAGTATTGAATCAATTGTTAGAGTTAAGCGTTAAATGAATGATAAACCAGAATGAATACCAAATAGGAATAATATAATATTTATTACATAGGGACATATATGTTGAAGCGTCTACAACGCAACGGATTCTCATGCACATAAAGCGGTGAAGTGCAAGTAACATAGTCAAAACCACAGTGGGCAAAGTTAAACTTTAAACACCACCCACCAATAAGCAAATGACCTCAAACGCACTAATCAGGTGAACGAGGCATTTTTGTGTATGAAAAATGGAAAAAGTGCATAAAAACTGTAGAAAAGTGTTAAAGAGGATACCTCCCTCTCATATGTGATAAAAATAGCTCCCAGTTTTAAGTTGGAGTATAAACGGAGTAATTTAACCACATTCTATGCATGTAGTTATTTAGGTCTTCTAACCCTAACAGTATAACCCTTATCTTTCCTGAACCTAACCTTAATGTGGAAATATCCCTAAACTAACTGTAATCTAACTCTGACTAACCCCCATGTCGCCTTTATTAGGCTAACCTAAGCCTAACTTGTCCTTGGCTTAAACCGTAACTTAATCTTTCGCAAACCTAAGCTGAAACTTGCCAGATATCCCGATTAATAGCACAACACTTCGATGAGCATATTTTATTGATGATGACAACATTATTTATTGGCCAGGTTTCACTAACTTGCTCAGTGAGTGTTTCAAGGTCAGTGGTGCTGTCGCACTCCATTGGCAGTTGTTAGTGGTGCTTGAAGTTTAACTTGGCCTCACAGTGACGTAGAACAACCAATTAGAATTAAGAGGCAAAAAAGCAGCATAATCGTTGAAAAATACACTTTGAAAAAATGTATTGCAAACATGATTTTACCACACAGATGATCTGTATAGAGAAACCGTACACCGTGGGCAATATATCCATTCATCCAGGTGACTGTAGGTAGGTAGGTAGGTCATGGTACTTTGAAATCCACTAATACTTCTGACCCCATTCTTCAACCTACTCTCACATTAACCATAATCTTAACTCCTAACCCTAAAATTTAATCTAAAAATCCATAATCCAATCTAAGAGTAAAGAATTGCGGAAAAAGTACCTAGTAAGTAAGTAGTATACTGTATCTATCCTCTCCAAGTTCAAAAGAGCAGGCATAAATGGGAGAAATCTGAGAGAAACAACCTCCTTTACCTACCTACCTGAGGAGTATCGTTTCGACTACAGCCGGACGCAACTGATAAGGATATCATCAAAGCGCGAGAATCGGGAAAGCAAGGCAAGCTTTCATTACCCATTAATAATATAGTGCATCATCGAACCAGAGTTTTAATAACAGAACAGAAGACAGCATTTATTGCCTTTTACTTTCGAATTTTATTTTAACCTTAACATAATTCTAACTAAATATTTACTTTTACTTGAACCCTGATGTTATTATGGCTTTGAAATGAATGAGACAATCAAATACACCTACAATTAGGGCAACGATGTAAGTTTGGCAAAGTTCAACAATAGCATCCCAAGGAATGCGAAGGCACCGGTGACCTTCAGACGACCAATCACAAAAATGAGGAATTTTTGCACAGAAAGTGACGTATATTTACAAGAAAATGCATGAAAACATACATTAAACAGTTTATCTTTCTCTGAAATGACTTAAAAAGCGTCCCAGTTATAGTGAGGAGTATCAGTTGCTAAGTTAGACTGGCACCGAAGTAACTGAAGATGAGCTGCTTTTGCGAATCGTTTATCTCTCTTATCCTCATGTGCAATCTTCCCCAAAAGCTGTCGGTTGAATTACTATGGTTCGCCGTAAGAGGATCGACGACCACTTACCAGGAAAATGTGGATAAGAAAACAAGTAAAAATAAATGAAACCAACTGTAAATCTATCCCTAATCGTAACCCTAAACTTAATTCTGACCCTAACCATAAGCCTTATCCAAACCGCAATTCTAACCCTAATCCTAATTATAACCCTGATCCTAACCCTAACCCCAATACTTACCTTCACCTTAATCCTAACCATAACGTGCTACTGTTAACACATTGTCGAAACATTACTT